CATAATACATGTTTCTTTCCTTACTTTAAAGTTTTATCAAATATATATAAAGTAAATAAGACACAATGAATCCAAACACGCTTTAATAGATACATGATTCAGGTTCCTCATGTGAACCGCATATACTGCAATACATACATATTTCATCGCCTAGATATGGTGTATACAGATTCTGCGGCTCAAATATATTGAAGCACTCAAGTACTGTACATATACAATATACATACTGGGTGTTGCATAATGTACACAGATTCTGTTGTAAACAGATACTTTTTACCATTGGGTGTATAATGTCTGGTAACTGAATAATAGTAGGGAAGTTTAATGATAGTACGTACAGAGTTTGCGTAATGGAGTAATCAAACTATTTTGGTATGTGTATATAATGAAGTTACATATTACATATAAATAAAGTCATTTATAAATTAGAAATTAAATAAAAGGTTGTAACAAAAGTAAAAATTGTAATAATTACTAGCTTTTCATTAAAATAACAAATGAATGAACAGATAAATATTTGAATAGCAGACCTTGAAATACCTCTTAGGTTATCTTTAAATGGTAATATTGAAGAAATCGCATCCGGATATCCAAAGCGTTTTTGATGAGAGACGAAATAAGTTTTTTACGAAGGCAATATGTGATTTTGAATAAGTTTTCATAGTATTTTAAAACGTTTCAGGATAAAATATTCAGTTTGAGAAAGTCAATTTCTTTGAGACTGAAAATCGAGAGTTTATTTATAATACGTGTTAAAGTAATGAATGAGTGTTGAAAAATTCCTTACACAGAACGAAAGAATAATATATAGCAGAACTAAAACCAACGTTATTCATATGTCGGTATACTTTGTTAGAAGCTTTATTTTCCTTATAATTTTATCACGCGTAACAAACTATGAGGTACTAGTAAATTGATACATACTTGTTACTTACCAACTAAGCCTTAGGTATCTGTGGAAATTCCGTGTAAACTTCTAGTATCAGAAATGCTTACTACAACTTCATTGAAGTTTATCGCTCCTTTTCAAAGTTTGTTCTGATAACACATCACTTAAAACTGTACGCCCTATATGATACAAAAAAGGGGCTAGAAAACCTATCATTTAAATTATTTAGTAGTACTTGTATTTTCTGAATCGACGTAAAACATGCTAAATTTAACTAGACAGTAGTGTGACAGTCATTTGATCTTATCTTTATATTAGTAATATATATATATCTTCTTTATTTATAATTGTTTTACTTGTTTTAATCTCAGAAACGTTTTAAACTATGTATTTACTCCCGAAGTTTCGGTTACTTAGCAGCAACAGCAAAGACAGGCAAAAATATTAGTTTTATTTCAATGAATACTCGCTAATGTGAGTAAAGAATGTGTTGCATAATGTTTGACACAAAATGTATGTATGTTTTTTTTTTTCTTTGTCAAAAGATCAGTTGTTTTTATTAACTACTTAAGACGCCTTTGGTGCACTTCATTCAAAGCAAGTTTAAAGTTCTTCAATTGTTAAATAACTTTACAGTGTCAAATTTGGTTCAACAGTAAACTCGTAAAAAAATCGTTAACGAAAAGATACTAGAAATGTATCGAGAGTTTTAGGGATATCAAATCTCAACTAAAATATGTGAAATAAAAGCAGATATTTAAAAAGATAATATTACAGTAATTTGACCTTCATGCGCTACAGATTTCTTATCAGTTCATTGTTATCTAATTCTTCTAATTGCGTACGTCAAATAACTATTTTTAATAACTCATCAAGAAAACTATCACTTAATAAAAAATATTCTGCTTGTTCTTGTATCCTATATTTGTCAAAACATTTCACTTATTTTGACGTTAATTAAGAATAAAATTATTAATAAGATTGATGGAAATTCTTCGTTACTTCTCTTATTATATTAGTTATTTTAAAAATTATTATGTTTTTGGTATGGAATGTAGGATTTTATTATCTTAATAAAAAAAAAAAAAATATCGGACTACCAATACGAAGTTTTTATATAATTATTAAATTTTTTCATTACGAGATATGACGACATGCAAAAATATTTGAGATCATTTTAATTGAAGTGATGGTAAGTATTTGAACTGACTAGTGTTTAAGAGTATCGTTTACTCGCTTTCAAGAAGTCCTCAGGATTGTAAGAAAAAAGAAGAGAAGAAATAGAAAGTATTCAAGATTGGAAATAAGCCCACGATTTGTTTTAGCATGTCTTAAATAATAAGTTTGTTAATTTTCGACACAATTTCCCTTAAACTTAATAGTTCAGTTTTATTCTTAATTTCATATACATATTAGAGACAAGGTATTATTGAAAATAAGTATTGTTGTGTAATTATATATTGTAAAAGAGAGTAGTTAGAGTATAAAATATAGTTCGTGGAGTCCCAGCGCTGGAAAAAGTAAAATTTATTACTGTGGTAATTAAATAAGAAGGCTTAGAAATCAATTTTTAGTCAACTTATATTGTTTCTTTAACTCGAACTTTATAAACATTATCCCACCTATTCACTCTCGCTTCCGCCCTTTTCTATTTCCCCTCACCAGGCGTTAAACGTTTTAACGCATCCTTGTTGGAAGTTGCGTGTTCCTCTCGAGAGCTAATAGTACTGAAATTTTTTATCGATATAATATTCATAATGATTGTATTAATTAAGAACAATTACTATATACAATTTCCTTATTTAAGGTCATTTATATGTCATCAATTAAGTTGTCAATGTAGTATATAGTTATTTGGTATAGTTAACAACTTGTCACAAATTATTGGTATCGATAATAATTGATACTTTTGATGTATCGACTATCATTAGGATCGTGTGTAGCAAGACAGTGGTTGTTAGCATAGAGTAGTTAGTTACTACGAAGTCTCTGACAGAACAAAGGATCGTGTCAGTGTGAACTAGACTTGCTAGTAACCCGGACACCACTAAAGGTATATAGATAATTATTAACAAAAGTCATACTAGAATAAAACGTTAAATAAACTTGAGTTTCTTATTTTTCAGTTCTCATAGTTGAAAAAATGTATTACTTTTGGCCTTTTGTAATTCTAATACGTCTTCAAAGAATACTTTATTTATATATTTCCAAGAATTAAGCAACTTTCAAAGTAGGATTCCTTTAAAAAGTATTATATATCGTAATAACAGGAAGTTGATAAATATATCCAAGAGATCTAATACCAAGTATCTAAAGATAAATTTTACTAGTATATATAAAAATATTACTACATACTCAAGAAACAGAATGTGTATTTTTTTAATATGTTATTTTGAGCTCCATTTATTTGTTTATTCAAATGAAGGGCTAAGTTTAATCAAATAAATAAAACTGTTTCAGACTTTCAATAGTTGTAAATCCTGCAGTTCAGCGTTGTTTATCGAAGACTGTAATAATGAAATCAAAATTAAAATTAATACAACGAAATATTTTGGGAACCTTATATGTTAATTTCATTGATATTTTAATTTATTTATAAAAGGCCATGTAGAGACGAAACCTTTTACCATTCCATGGATTCTCCGAGTTGGTGCCGAATCCATCGTTGTAAGGAAAGGAGCTTCAACAGTACCTGGGACTTATGACCTAGGTGTAGGTTTAAGGGGCTCCTATGTAACGCGCGTTAAACGCTCACGTTCCCCGGTCCATGATACTCTCAAGTATTATAAAGTATATTAATAATCTAAATCTAAAAATAATTGTTGTAAAAAAATACTCTATTTTTCACTATGATCGTTACGTCAACTTAAATGTTATATTTAAAATTTAAATAGTCTCCGCTACACTTAGCAAGAAAAAAAAAAACAATAAAAATACGTGCACATAAGGAAAACTATTTTCATAATCTTCTCATTTTTTATAATATTCTCAAGAACTTTTGAAACGAATCATAACCATAATTATAAATATGTATTGTGTATTACATAAAAAATCATTTATGTTTAAGAATCAACATTTATTTAAAGATATCATAGGCTTTACATTAAATTTTTACTTTTATTTATTAGACACGAGATTTATGGAAATAATTATTAAATAATCATTTTAATAAATTTTATTACAGAAGATATTGTAACTGATAAAATATAATGTTCTTTTTATTAGTATGTGAATAATTTTTGAAATATTAAAATAAAATATAATTCACTAATAAAATTATTAATTAGATCCCAAAAACCTCGTATCGAGTTACAATTAAATTGATATGGAAGAATTCCTTAATACTATTCATTGGCAATCACCGAAATATACAATGTTCTATTTACAGACGATCCTTCTTGCGTTATCTTTGAGGCATCTGAAAAAAAAATGAGTTTTCATACATTTGACGTGATAAAGTTTTGATAAAAGAATTTAAATACAGACTACCCACCTACAAACCACCTACAAACATCAGTTTTCTGTAGTGCCGTTTCTTTGCGATTGAATTTCATAAGTAAGTAATTGTAACAATATGTATTTTTAAATAATAATAACTATTACTTATATAGGAAGTAGTTTCGGAAATGAATATTTTTTATCAATAACACTCTTAAAACGTCGTAACTATGTTATAAGACAGACGGTGAGGTTTTGGACATTTTAGTACTATCCCTTGCAATTTGTCAATCATTAAGAAGTGTTCGTTCAAAATAACCAACTTCTGAATTGTGTTAAACATTTTAAATATGTCTCATTAAACAGTAACAGATGTAGTATTTTTATTTTATTATTTGTTATGTTGTTACCACTGAATAGTGCTTGAATGTTTTTCCACCTATTAGATATGTATAAGCAGAATTATGGTCGTATGTAGTTAACACATTATTTAAGTTATCTTTGTAACAGTCTATTCACTCTAGTCTTTCAAGTTGTAAAATGTTTAATAAATCACCATGAATAATTAAGAAATATTATTCTATCAACTAAAATCAGTACGATAAAGATGACCATTAAAATATTATTTTATTATTTTTGTCAGATTCTAGCCTGCTATCCAAGGAATGAGAAGTCAATAAAAGTGTGAGAAATCAATTTTTACCATGTCTTCTTCAATGGATGGTGGTTGGTAGCTTGATTTGTGCTGACCAGCCTCCTTGATGGAGTAAGTCTTGTTATCACTCGACTCCAAAACAACACGAGGCGGTTCACTATCTGTGAGTTAAGATAACCGAAACGACAGTTTAATACGATTTAAATGTTAAAAAAATTTGTCCTTCCTTTAATTGATTAAAAAAATTTAAGCAAGTCAATACATATTTTTAATAACAATGAAACTAAAAGAATTCAATTAATTCTTATACCATGACACAACTTTTGTTTAAATTTTGAATGAAATCGTAAAGTGATCTATCTGCATACTTAATTCAATATATAAAAGTTTTTGTGTGATCGAAGGACAAACACACAAACTTTCACATTAACTATTCAAAACCACTTCCTACTCCTTTTTTCTATAATTATAGAAAGAAATAAAATATTTAACAAAAAGGTTTCCTGTTAAAATTTATATATAAAAAGTAATATAGCACACGGATTAAGATCAATATTCTTTGATTAAGATGATGATAAGCTGTTTCAATCGAACAGCTCGTTTGTCATATCAGAACTTACCAGCTTTAGGATTCAATATATCCGGTTTAGTCTCCAGCTTGTCCTGTGCTGGGTAAGCTATAAGATAACGACGTCCATTTGCATCTACTTGAACAACGCTCTGTGACGGGCGCTTGCTGCTAGATGAAGCTTCGTTACGTCTGTTAAAAAAAGAAGCAAGACTTACCATTACAATATCCCTACAAAGATTCACAATAACAAAAAGTTATGTACAAATGTTTAACGTGATGAAAAATAGAAGATGTCAAGTTTAAACTCTGTAGTTAGTGATTAAAAAAACTTACTTTTTCAGTAGAAGAACTGTTGTTATTACAACAATCGTAACAACTGCGACCACACCAGCAATAGCTGCTGTCGTTGGAAATTTCGAAGACACTCGAGTTGTATCCTCTGATAAAAAAGAACATGAGGAAAAAAGCTTTGAAAAACTACTTAGTACATAATATTGTATTTATAGGTACAGGTATATATTGATTGCGAAATGTAAATAAGCCTTTAAGTATATTATTCTACTATACGTGTGTATGTCACTGAACACCTAAAGCGCTGGACCGATTTTAATGAATTTTTTTAATACATACATTTGGGTGGAATACCACATAATTTAGATTAACAAATCAGCCTCACAGATGATGCTGTAGTTGACATCTAGTTTTAAATAACATGAAAAGGCTGCAACGTAAGTTATGTACTCGTTTGTATTGTTTTAACACTTTGACCACAACTCAGACGCTCACGCGAACAGACTTAAGAGCAGACACTAGTTATTATATAATACCTTTATTTTAGGTTTTTTCCATCAGGTTTTTAGGACACTCAAAATCAAAGATATTAGAAGTATTTCTATATTGTACTATTTCTTATTGACTTTGAGTATGTTACCAGAAACTTGAGTTTATTTTAAAAAAAGAACTAAGCAGATGTAAGCTTATGCTTTTAACCCTTTCTAGATTATTCTCTTGTAATAAATTAATATATTTAGAAGATAATAAATGTGCTATCGTTATTTATTATATATGACAAATTGTCTATAAGAACAAACAAAACAAAACAAGTCTATTCCATTCTATTCTATAGAATTCTAGTCAGATTATATACCTGTATGTTTCGCAGCATCCTTGTAGACGAGATCTCGGATTAACACTGGCTCAGATACCCCTTTGCTGTTCCTTGCACTCACAGACAGTACCTCATTCACTGACAGAGATTCTAATTCTGACCAGCTTACATTCAACCACACTACCAAATCTGTAATAACTTGTGATATTGTTATAACGTATATAAACTATAATATTGGATCAAGGTGCTTAGTTTGTCACTTAAGGTTAACAATTTAAGAAATAAAAAAACTTTGGAAACGGAGAAATTATTTCCTTATAGCTACACAAATAACTTCTTCATTTTTTCAGTAATCTACTTAGTTTTACGACGTTAAATATTAAGGGAGAAATTGGTTCATTTCTTGGTAAGTGGAGGCAATAGTCTGACACACTACCAACACAACAATATTCTGCACCAAACTTAAGGTGATAAATATTTTGATGAGATTCCAATGACGAGACAAGACAAATTATCTCACCAGTTGTATCGGCTGTATTATTAGCAAGGATCCTTCCCGTTTCTCCAACAGCTTCTAGCGTGAAGTATTGGCTTAAACCTCCATCGTAACCCGCTATGCAACGGACCGTGAGAAACGTTTCCATATTTATATCAGACCTCTTTGCTGTACAGTTTCTTGGTGGAGAAGGGCGAGCTGTCAAAAGTATACTGTTAGAAACTTTCACACTAATTTGTTATATCTACTGTTGATTTTTGAATGCTAGAAGTAAAAGGCGTAGTAATCTAAAAGAAGGCTTAAAAATCAGAAGTGTTTAAATAAGTGAAACTTGAAGCTGGAAATCATTTTATTTAAGACCTCTTTCTTATTTTTATAATATTTGTAAATCACTATACATAATTAACTATAATTATTATATTAAGTTGAAATCTAAGTCGCTTTCAGAATAATAAATTATATTATTTCATGTGAAACTTCATCACAAGCTTTAAATTTAATTTAAAAGTATACTAATACGTAACAAAGTTTAGCCGTGAAAAACCCGACATTGTGACAGTAAAACTTTGATATATTGACTGTCTCAAATAAATCCATAGAAATCCAAAATGTTATTTTAAAATACAATACAGAAACGTCATTCTAAAGTGTACGAAGTTCCGACTTAAATGGCTGGAAACTGCTCCAGGATTCAATTGAAAGTCTTAAAAATATATAATTCAGTTACAAAACTAACCGTTGAAGTAAAATAAAACTTTGTGAAACCCAGCGCGCCTTTTAGTGACTGTTATTCGGTGAAATTTAAACCTTTTCTGTATAAAGCACTAGTCAAAATAAAAATAAAAAAAAGCTGGTCCAGCGTAACGGAATTTATGAAATGGAACTATAAAAGAGTTTTACATTTTACACCTTTGTGACTTGTTTTTATACGAACGTATTTCATGAAATAACAGCATCGTATAATTGGTTTATATGTTATGTTTTATTGGATTGAATAACTAAATAATATAAAAGTGGCATCCACTTCAATTCAACTGTTATTGGTTAGTAAATCTGTTGAAATTTATATTTTTATTTTGAGTGTGAGTATTCGGACGGTAGTGATTTATCCGAAACAGACACGCACAGGTAAATTGAATATATTTTGAATATAACTTAATTTAATTTAAATTTTAATAAATTATGTCAAGTGAATATGCATGAATAAGACGTTAAACTTTGACTTTTATGAGTGGTTACGGGATTTAATTGCATAAAATAATTATACAATACTTAAAATTTTGTATAGAGCACTTTGAAAATGTTCTTCGGGCTTAGTTTTTTTTGTATAAATCATTCATGACAATGAGATGTATATTATATAAAAAGACAGTTGACAAACACACTCATTTATGTGAAAAAGTAAATTTATGATTTAACAGAAGAACTAAAACACATAATATTTTTTCAAGTGCATTGTATAAAATAAACAAATTTTAAATCAATTATAAAAAATATACTTGTGTGTAAATTTAAAGATATTACTTTCTACGTTATTCTTTATTTATTAAAACTAAGTACGTATACTTTTTATAATAATGCGGTCATAGTACAAAATGGTTCAAAAAGTTATATTCAAATATGTTATTTATATATATTTTTCATTATTTAAAATAGAAATGCATCTTCACCCACAGACCTCGACATTACTTCATAGTAGTTGCTGTCTGGGAAATGTAATATTATTAAATCCAAATAGCATGGCCTTATTTCCTGACTCTTGGAATAAGATGCATTGAAAATATTAAAGGACATTTTTGATATTATAATAAAAATGTAAAGTAATAGTTCAGACATTTTAATTTATAAAATAATATATATGTATGTATTATTAATTAAATTATTTCATATCGTAATCTTCTTTTAAATTGCTTATAAAACTTAGAAATATTATCGAGTTTTTAATGTATAATGAAATTTTATGAGTATAAGAAACAACAAAAAGACAAAGAAATAGATTTTTTTTTTCAATCAAAAACGATTCTTGGTTAACTTTATAGTTCATTCAATAATTTCTCAAACTTTCTATGAATTAATTTCCATCACTACATGATAGTTAGTTAGTAGTTGTTAGAACGACTATAATACAAACTGGGTGTACAACAGATTATACTTGGTCCATACTTTAGACAGTATAGTTTCTACTATGTATATCACAGTAAATTGTAGCTTTGTGTCTTCACCTAGTTTCTGATTGGTATAAGATAATATATGTGACATTTTCGTCATAAAATAAACCGTCGTTTTATGTTAAATTTCGATTATTTCAATATACATATTTTTTTTTAATGAAACATTGGCTCTCTATTAATCCTTCTTTTTTTAATTTCTATCCTAAATATTTCTTCGACAAAAATATCGAGGCTTCAAAATCTTTTAAAGAGTTATACATAAATTATTCGCAAATTTTGTAAACTTATTCAATTTTTTTTTGATCACAAATTCTTTTATTTAATTACAAAGATATAGTCGTACATTATTAATAGTTATGATATTCATTTTACGAGAAGCTTAACATTAAATATGTAAATCATTTAAAATACTTTTCATTCCGATTAAAACGAAATAAATAAAAAATAATATCAACGAAGATGATTTTCAATCCCAAGCGACATTTTATTGGAAAATGCCCAATTACACTTTAGTCCCAGATTATCCGAATTTATTTACACTTATCAGAGTATCACTTAAATTATTTAAAATTAATGAAAAATATAACTATATATAAATGCATTCATCCAATAGGCTGTCTTTTTCACGAAAATTCTAAATACTCTAAATTCGCACTGCCCACTATTTATATCTTTAGCACAAGTTATAAAATTGTCACTTATTTATAATAATCTCATTAACTTTATAAATGAATGAATCACCGAAATAGTGTAATGAAAATAGTTATTTTCATATTTTAAATACAGCAGATCAAAAATTCGCTGGTAAACTTTATTCATTTGGAATCTGCGTCCCAAAGTTAAGAGTGCCGTCGAAGTTTGTCACGCTAGTTCTCAGATGCGGCTTCGACAATAAATACTAGTAATGCGACTTAGAACTTCTTAATCGGAATTGGGTGGCTTCTGACTTGAATATGCTGATCTAATATCAAAACAATTTAAGTTATTCAAAATATATACTGTAGAATGTCAAAATTGGTGCAATTTGATTTGTTACGAACCTATTGTGAATATGAAATACGAAGTTAAATATCCACTTCTTATGTAGTGATTTTAATATAATATGTATATTACATGTATGAATTTAACCTATATTTTGATTATACATCAAAGTTACTAATACACATAGTGTAGGTAACAACTTCATAGAAGAAATACGATATAATATGTAAGACAATGCAAACTTCGCTTTACCATAATCTCCCCATAAAAACCCAGATCATTTCCCATTAGGTAAATAATACCAACTACATTAAAGTAACTAAGTAGTATGAGGACTTAAGTATACATTTAATATGTTTCAGTTGTTGATATATAAAGAATACTACAAACATATACTCTTAAATATAAGATTTCATAGTGTCCCGGAACCTTTGAAGGTTAGCTTGTAATAGTCCGCATATACAAACATTCTAACTTTCATATAACCCATGGTTCGCACAATCGAGTCAACAAAGGTTTACGAGTAAAAATCTTTGAATTCTGACCTTTAGTTTAACGCACAAACTAGCATTGAAATTTAGACAATTAAGATAAAACAATCTTATGACAAAGAGGGCATTGCTCTCTAATAAAACATGAAAAATTAAATTATGTTTTCAGTTCAGTTTAAATTATGTTTTCAGTTACGTATATATGTTACCAATATGTATTCATTTTCGTATAAATCAAATAGTAATTTTATTTAGCGTATATACAAAATTTAAGTTGTTTTAAAATAACATACATCCTCTTTTATTTTATATTTTTTGTAAGTAAGATTATTATCCGACCCCATCTAATGTGGGAGGGCAAAGAAGTATGATAATCAATTATAGGGCTTTACTTGTATAACGTTAATTGAGATTAGAATTTAGAAAATATGCAAGAATATCATACCTGCAGGAACTATCTGGAATACACACGGCTTCTTCTGACGTCCCACAGCGTTAGTTGCTCGACAAAGTAATGCGCCATAATCACGTTCACTAGCCGCTCTGTAACGTAACTCGCTGGCCGTACCTCCCGTTGAAACTGGGATAGATTTTTTTATTATTTTTTTTGGTAACACTGTATTTCCTCTTTTCATCACCTTAATTTTATCCTTTTATACTTTAATTTGTCTTATTTTAATAGTCCATCAAACACAAACAGAATTTCGTACAAAGGTGGACTTAACGCTCAGATTTATAAGTATTAAATTTCGGAAATGCTTTTATGTAATGAGGAATAATTTATACAAATTAAACATCATGTTTATACGTGTTTTATGTAATCATTATTATTTTATTTTAGACCTTGGAGATTGTTTAATAATTTTCGGAACTAGATTTTGAGGCACATAAGCGATATATAATTACCATATCTTGCTGGTGAAACCTGGAAACTTTCACCGCTATTGTTAAACTGCCAGTAAAAGGCTACATCAGCGGGATCCGCACTGACAGAACAACGAACTTTGAGAGACGAGTCCAGTCGCGCTCCAAGCACCAATGGACTGGTTTGAGCACATGTTGGAGCATCTGTGAAAGGAATATCCATAAAGAAAAACTAATATTTTCATATATATACTACGAGTTTTTTATTTTTTAAAACTACATACTCCCGACGTTTCGGTTACTTTACAGCAACCGTGATCAAGGGTAGACTAGATGAAAATTGAATGTGTTTAAAAATAATGAGAAACGTGTAATAATTTGAAATTATTTTTTTTATTTTAATATTATATTTTTAACGAAAATACCACAAAAACCGTAAGCATATATGTATAACATATTTATTGACAATATATAACTTTAAATACTCCGTTATATTTTAAATCCAATTTTTGTAAACTAATTTTATTTCAATAATATAAAATATCCTTTGAATGTTGATTCGTATGACTTTCATTACTTTTGTTTTGTTGAATTAGGCCCATTTTTTTATCAAAATAATAAATATATTTGAAATTTACATAATAAGTTGATTTGTTATTAACATTATTATACACAATATTTACTTAAAACAATAGTAGATACTTTTGGGTTACTTATTTATATATTAGTAAAGAAATAGGACACATATAGATAAATAAGGAGAATCATAATATTTTATATACCTTTACAAACATAATATATGAATTACTTTGAGCATTAAATATGTCTTTCATATTTTTCCATTACAAGAATTGAAGAATTCCATTGTTAGAAGCGAAAAGATTCACTACGTGAGAAGAGGCCTTAACTCAACAGTGGGCTCCGATAGGCTGACGATGATGATGATGATATATATATGAAATACTTACATTGTACTCTTAAATAAACCGACTGACTGCTCGTTTCTCCCAATTGATTAGCTGCTCGGCAAGAATATAACCCACCATCACGTCTACTAACACGTTGTAGCACTAACGACTTCGTACTTATAAAAACTCCCGAAGACATATTCTGTGTCACCTGTTCCTCCTGCCATTAGATTAATAAATAAATTAATATAAACGAATATTTATATAGAAACTCGATTATCCGACCCTCAGTTATACGGATTCGCGATTATTTGGATTACGGACAAGTCCGGACAAGAAAGAATGTCAAAGGGTAAGAGAGTGGTGTTGTTGACAGTGGTGTAAGCCAAATGACAATTACCAAATATTCTATACCCAATGAAACTTATTATTTTAATTCATGATAACCAATTGCAAATTACGAAATACATACATATTGTAATTTATTTTTTAAAAACACATATTATATTATGTACTACATATGCACAAATGATTTTCGATTATCCGAATGCCTATCGACAACAATTATCCCGGTTAATAGAGTTCCTACTGTACTATAAAACAAAATACTACATATTATATAACTATGAAGTTAACTCACTCACGTTATGATACCAGGAAATGCGATGCTCCTTGGGGTTAGCTTTGATGTTGCACTCGAAATAAACATCGTCACCTTCCTTTATGTCGTTAGGGTTTAATGTGCTGCCTAGAGACATCGTCAATACCGGTTTGTCTGTGAAATAAAGATACTTTAAACATAGCGAAAATAGCGTGATTTTCAGAAATAATATTCTTTTATTTCGTTTTAGCATTCGATACATTTTCAAGAGGTTTTCAAATTCTTAAGCTTCATCATATTTCTAGTGTTTTATATTGAACAATATTTTGGATACGTAATTAAGGAAATCTGGTATATTTAAATTTTATATTTAAAGATGTTAAATGTAGATATATAGATATAGATTTTTATTTTTGTTTCAGCATATTCATATACAATTTTCTAATTAAAAGCATAATAATATAAATAAATATACATTATCAAATTATCTGTCAAATAGAGTTATGAATGAAATTATTTTTAAATAACAAATTTTCGTAACGATATTTATGTTTATATTCTTCAAATATTTTCTTATTATCATTCCTAATTATGTTAAAAAATATCTCGTCTTGTTTTCAAATCGTCTAGCCGTGTTGCTGCAAAGTAACCGAAACCTCGGGAGTATGTTTATCAAAAAAACGCGTAGTAAACCGAAAATATAAATTATATTTAGGTCATTTATAGTTTGATAATTTTTCGCAACTTTGTATATTACAGAACTTTATATTTTGACATGGGTTTCGAATATAAGATAAGCATAGATAAAAGGATAACTACAATCCTTATCTTTTTCATCTCACGTACCCATGTTTCTAGCGTATTAGGGCATGAATATAGCTGATAGTGTGGGCTTTACCCTTTTGTAAATTCGATTTCATATTTACATTTTAATATTTACAGAATGTTACAAGATATTAAATGAATTTGTTCAAATCAAATATTAAGATAAATATAGACGACACTTAGATTATAAATATTTTAAAACTTTTAACTGGAGTGCCGATGACAGCTGCGCGAATACAGATGGAAAGTAAATAAAATATGCATTAGAAAAACTTGGCTTGAGATGAAGGATTGAAAGTTTTCCTCGAGGGGGTCATTTACTATAGGTTCGAAATAAATATAAGAGTTTGTAGAATTTAGAAAATAAATATTGTAATTACAGTACATAAGGGTATATTATTTTGATATCAATCTTATGTATAAGTAACTAGTTAGTCCGCGCTAATTTCGTCATTAGTAATATATGTATGTATAGCTGACCTGGCGAACCGGGCAAAAGGTATTGGTATTTAATAAATTTGTCAAATGATTGTCAAATCTTATATCAAAAACACTTTTGTATGGAAAATAGAAAAGGGCTGTTTTTAGGGTTTTCCCGGAAATGTATCAATTTTTTTCAGCTTTTAAACCATCCCTGAAGTTCATCGAACATTTCAAGACTAAGATAAGATAAATCCGTCCAGCCGTTCTCGAGTTTTAGTGAGACTAAGGAACAGCAATTCATTTTTATATATATAGATTATATTTCACGCAACTATTATCGTGTGAAACTCTCATCAACTCTTCAGTACGATGCGTAATTAATTACATAACTTTTGGTTAACTTTTTGATAATAATATAACCAGTCAAATATCACGTTCAAGTATCGATAGTAAAAAAAAATAGAAATGTATATTATTTTTTTGTTACAAAAACGTAATTATCACAGGCACTTTCACCTATCTTCTCGTTATTTTTTGTCACGGTACGCTCGTTAACTCAGTTACTGCAGAGTAATCGAAACGGTAAAACAATCAAGTATATTTAAATCGTTTTTAATATATTTTTAAGTTTTTTTGCTATTGTATACATTTATATAATACACAACGAACAGTCTTGCTAAGAAATTTTGTGATCCGTTATTAATAAATACTTAAGTTCCGTTTATATATACTTGTATTTATACTTTTACTTTAACTCTCTAATACTTTACTTATTATTGTTTAGTTATACTTTATCATGTCATTATTATAAGCTCTGATGGGGTACCGAAATAAATAAATATTTTCCTAGGACTTACAGACAACACTCATCTTGACAGAATCCTCCAAAGCGACTCTCAGAATTGGATTATCAGCTCGACACCTAATGGTTGCTCCATCATCTTCAGGTTGAGGCAGCATGGTTAGCTTGCTGATCGACGACGTCTCGTTTATATACTCGCTATGCTACAGAAATAATTCTATCTTATTACAGAAACAAATTCGAATAAAAAAAACTATTTGATTTTACAAGTTATTAATGATAAATAAAATATTGTCAGTAGTTTTTGAGAACAATACCTTCTCCTCGGTATCATAATGCAAAAACAAATTCTTTAGTATTTTTTTATATACAATAATTGATTTTACACATTTATTAATGCTAAATAAGATATTGCTCAAAAATGTTGAGATCAATACCTTTCCTCTGGTATTTTAATTCAGAAACAGATTCTTTATTAAATTTGTATATAAATTAATTGATCTTACAGATTATTAATGCTGAATAAGATATTGCTAAAAATGTTGAGATCAATACCTTTCCTCTGGCATTTTTATTCAGAAACAAATTCTTTAGTAAATTTGTATAAAAAATTATTGATTTTACAGAATATTAATGCTAAATGAGATAGTAATTTAAAATTTTTCATAACGATACCTTCCCCCTGGTGTATCTTCTATTTTCTCTGTACCAGCTTATCTGAGCTGGTGGTCTACTTCCATGTGTCACACAAACAAGTGTCACTTCTGAATCAGCTGACAGTTGCCCTGGTTTATCCACTATCGAAACTGATGTAGGTTTCACTAAAATTTTAATTACATTTAATAACTTTAACTTCAACAATCAAGGTTGGCAACGCATCCGTAACATCTATGTCCATGGGCGACGGTCACTATTGCCCATCAATTAGGCCGTCTGTTCGTTTGCCATCTTTTAAATAACAATTTACCCGACAAATATATAGTTTTACTTTTTAGTATTAAGAGCTTAAGCAGGATTCTAACTTAAGTTTAGTGACAAAAGATCTAGACTAATAACAATAAAACCCTATCTAGACTTAGCTTTCTGAAGGTCAATACACGACCCAAGGTTTTGTCTTAAAAGATTGAGTGATAAAATAAAGACAAGAAAGAAAATAAAGTCATTTAAACAACGTACTAACCAAACCAATTATAGAAATAAAAAAAATATTCAAAATAAATCTAAAGGGTCAGTCGAATTTATTTATTCATGAAATTTATCTGAGTAGAAATTAAATTGTATCAAAATATACATATTTTTTTTATAAAACAACAAATAAAATATCGTTTATTCAAAAGCCACTTGACCTACTGTTGCGATGAGGGCTAGCTCTTATAAATAATTAACAAAAAATACAATAAAACATTCTATCTTAATCATGTAGATATATATGTACATATAGTATTTTTAAATAAAATTAAAATACGCTTACAATTCATTTCAACTCTGGCAGTTCTCTCTTGTGGGCTTAAGAGCGGGGTATTTGTTGCTTGGCATTTGACAGTTGTGTTGAGCCAACTTCTTTCAGCACCACTGACGCTTATCTTACTTATAATAATTTTCCCGTCATTTTTCAGTATAGTATGTTCTTCCAGAGGCGTGTTATTTATTAACCACGACAGCGTAGGCTTAGGACGACCTGTTAATAAAATTTTATATATACATTCAATTAAAATAAATCCAGAAACCCGGCAGAAAAATAAAGCTTTATAGATACAGCTTATTGCGTTCCCCTTTTCATATATAGCCCGGGGCACAAATGAAAATATTTTCAACCAACTTCACTTAAAGCCGCAATAAATTGCCAAAACACTTTGACATCGAAAATAAAAAGGAAATTCGCATCTAGAGCGGTTTCGTAAAATTCAATATGGCGGGTAAGATGGAAACGTAAAAGGCGAAATATTTAGTTAGAGAAAGTGAGGAAGTTAAGAGTTTTATAGAAATCCGATATGATATATTTCAAGAACTAAATCATAACACATTTTAGGTACGCAAACATAACTTATTGGCCAGTTTGTTTACTTATAATTGATAAATATCACGGTTTATGATCACGTTTATTGAAAAGTAGCTGAAACGTTGGGAGTATGTAATTTTTTACAAAAATAAAGCACGCGTAAGATATCCGAAACATTAGTTTCTTTTAAATGAAGAAAACTTGCGAAAGTCTTAGATCTCATTATGTATAGTAGATAATTTGGATATATGTATATAAACGTAAGAGTATGTATATATTGAAATTTTGGCCTCATGACAGAACTGACTTTTAGAATACTAATGCTACCAACTCACTGCCAACAGTGTATGTACATTTGATACATGCTGCACTGAGGAGAAAATAGTTGACACTTGACGTATAGGTTATTGACGTTAAAATTCAAATAATTAATTTACGCACACTACAATTAACTAAACTCAATAACCAAGGTTCAATTACAAAGTTCGTTCTCAATATTAAACGAAATCACACGACGTTCCGCGGATAACGTGGCGTATGCGCGTCATACGATCGGACTAATTCACTGATTCAAGCACAATACAGGCAGTGGCCCGAGTTACGTCAAGCGGACTGTCACTTGAAGGCTTCTATACCATTTTCAGTGACATTTGCTTGACTAAATAACTACAGCTACCCTCAATCTATCGTAAGAATAATCAATTTAGTCTCTTAAATTACAAATGTTGTCATATATAAAAATGTTGTTTAGCAGTAAACAAAACACAAAACTAGATTATATAAATGAACATAAGTAGTATTAAAATATTCTGAAATTCTAAATCTTTGACGTCAATAATATTGGTACCAAGTAAGATTTTTCCAAGTTGCCCGAAAAAATTAATTAATTAATTAGTTTAACAGCACTAAGTTTATATAACACATTAATATTGGAAACCTGTTAAATACGAAAGTATAAATTATCAGCTATAGATAAAATTCACCATTAATATCATCAAATCACTCTAAACCTTACAATGCTATTATAATTTACAAATAGATTTAGACAGAACAATTTCAATTTCAATTTAAATATACTAAACAACATTTAAATTTAAATCAACTATTTTAATTGTTTGATAAATTGGCAACAACTTTTAAAATCATGCAAAAAAATACGAATGATTTAAAAAAGATATAAAAAAAGTATGAACGCATCCATATTTAATTGTGAGTCTCCGGTGTGAATCGACTTCGATTAATGAACAATGCGCTCCGAAATGGTAGCAATTTTTGTAACAAGCGGAAATTTTATTCTGTTAGATTATAAAAAATATATGATAAATGTTGACGTTTCAACTCCAGTCATTTAAATACGGAGTCAAATTAATCTCTTGAATACTACTTTCGTAATTACATTAATTATTTTTTTTATGTCAATACAATTGCTTGTAAGAATAAAACTAACTATTAGATAATTATTATAGTGTATCAATTAATATATAATAATATAAAGATTCATTTAATTTATAAACTACTAAAATATCGAGTTTCAACGTCATTAAATAGTTTGAATCGAAAAGTAATATTATATTAAATTTATTTTGTTTAATTCCAGAAATAATCGAATTAAATCCTTTTTCTTGCATTCACCATACAGTGAATCAATTTATATACATAAATAGTTCATATTTGATATGAAAATACATCACAATAATCCAGATTTATTTATAAAATATTTTAAACCATAAACTATATCAGTTACAAACCCTGCTTCACTTATTCACGTAATGTATAATTTAGGGATAAACTGATGTCAAACTGCTTGTTCCTTAATTTTGGACGCAGAAAATTTATTTCATAATGTAAATTTAAAATAATACGATATATACTCTTTATATATATACATATATGTATGTGTGTGTGTTTGTGAGTCTCCATTATACTATAGCAAAAGTGTACAAATAAAATTACCTGATTAAGCAAGAATATACCGCATAATTTGTATTTCTCAACATAAATAACGAGGAAATGAAGTATTTGGTAGGTGGTAGAGCCTAGATGTACTCAGTTACTACAACTCGAACATGGGCTGGCTCGACCGGGGAAGTACCACCCTCTCACAGAAGATCGGCGTGAAGTAGCCATTAATGGCTGCGTATCGTCCGATGAGTGAGAGAGCCGGTTGCCCTTTCCCTATTCCCTCCCTTTCCTACCATTTCCTAATTCCCACCCATCCCTATCAATAAAAAACAAGGTTGGCAACGCATCCGTAACAAAGATGTTGCGGATGTCCATGGACTGCGGTAACCACCTTCCATCAAGTGGGCCCTCTGCTCGTTTGCCACCTTTCACATAAAAAAAAAGTTAACTGATATTCTACTCAGCTGCTCAGTATCAGAGATGTCATAACCAAAATTCAACTTTATTTATATTCAACCAAAATTCATAACCAAAATTCAATTCTATTTATTCTATCAGAAACGAAACACAGATAAACACCTCAAACATACTTTAGTACATAGTTTCAGAACTTTCGGTTTGGGAACTGAGTAAAATCTCCAAGTTTTGACAAACTTTGCGCCAATATATATTTTCATATAACTTACGTGACACCAAAATTAGAGACACCATTTTATAAATGGTAATTATCAAAGCCAAGCCCGGCAATGGACATCCAATTTAAGTATTATTCTGAACAATAGTCGCCCGGGATTGCATGAAATAGTAACATTTGACCGTTATCCTATTACAAATGACTTTATCAATTGACATTCACAACGAATTACTCAATAACAGTAGAAAATGTATCCGTTCATTGAAATATTACCAAAAAAAAACGCTATAAAACCACGTTGAAAAAAAAAAAAACATTTTTATTACTTTTGTATGACAACGTCCCTTTGTTACAAAATATACAGTATAGTCGAAAATAATTATTTCGTGTTTGTTGTTCTCATCTTTTAATTATTTTTATAAAGAAATCTTAAATATATTTTTATTGTTAATAGGCAACGTAAGTAATGATTATACAAAACAATTGCTTGAAATTTCATGGCCCTGAAACCTTATAGTGTTAGTGGAAAATTCGATAAACATCTTAATTTACTTCAATTAGTTCTCAGCCTCTTACTAATATAACGTCTAAATTAAACTGTGATTGTGGACCTCATCTGTCATGATTGTCTACAGTAACTTTCACCTTTATAAGTACAAGCAATATATCATCTTATCATCGCTCGGTTGTAGTAACTCAAACGGATTTAATTTAAGTAATTGGAAATAATTTTTTAAATATCCACATTTATGATAACCATAAAACATATTTCTCAACATAAATATTAACATTAAAAGAAAAAAATCAAAATCCAATTAAAAATTCATAGGAAAAAGTATAGTTTTTTATTTGATTATAATTGGACAGTGCCAATAGTATCCTTCCTGATGGCAAGAAAATTTTTAGCCTTAAATATGTAGTAATCACACATGCCCAGTACAAGCTCTTTTTTCTCTAAGACTGTCAAATTTTAATTGGCAGCACACACAAACGAGGGCAAACAGTTTCAATTTCTGTATTTGGCTCGCTCATAAGAAAAGAGCATACGTATCGAATTATCCTTATACGAGGAAAATAGGAGGACTATAGAAGGATAAGAGCTCGCTGTGCTCTATTTGTTAAAAGGGTAATTTAGGTATTGTATAAGCAATTCTTGTTATCCAAATGTAGATTGATCAGAATGAATTATTGTATGAAAAACTAGAAGTATAACATATTCCTATGAACAATGCTATTGAACGCGACACAAGATTTCAAAGGTATTTTCCTATCTTTAATAAATTCTAAATTACATCAACTATTCAAAGTCAGATAATAGTAATTGTAAATGAAAATGTTATGGATGATCAAAATAATTGTTATTTCTCGATTGTATTATGTTATTGAAACAAAAGAATATTGTGATTTAATTAAATTAATACATTTTTATTCCATTGACATCAATAATTTATGTATATAAAAGCAGACGATATATTGATGTTATTTTTATAAAAATCTAAACAAGTAATAAAATTTTCAATAATACATACCTATTATATTATTTGTCTATATCTAACTCTATAATAATTAATGTTTTTTCCTTGCCTATTATTAATTTGGAGACTTTAGTCCTAATCAGCTTATTATTTCGTAAAACGGGACCGTAATCAATATGTTTAGTGCTTCGGTTACAGTAAAACTTTACCGCCAACTCAGCTCAGTCCAGCCAACGTATAAATTTTAACGAGATACCGTAAATAGCCTTAATGTTGAAATTCGTGGCTTATTTCTTTCAGCTATAACGCAGGCCGTATGTTGTTACATAAAAATATATGTTGTACATTTTACCCGTGTTTTTGTAACATATTAGAAACGTAATATACATATTCTACCAGTACCGAAATGCTACCTGATTTGTTCTCAATATTTTGTATAAGTTTTACATGATTGAATAATAATCACACAGGAAAAGAAAAACCTTTTCATTGTTAATTTAAATGAGACATTAATTAAACATATTGATATCTACAAAACCCATAATTTTGAAAGTATCCTTTTATATCTGTTTTAAAATCAATATTGTCTAACTTCTAAATAATATTGAGCGTTGTGTTTTAATGTCAAATTAAAACAAATTGTTTAAAATTACAATTATTCACCTGCTACAAATACCCGGATGAAAAATGAAAAAAGCGTTTCTGGAGATTATATCCCATCTTGATGATAACAGTACATAGAATTTAATAATTACGTATTACACACAACTACAATTTATCCTTTCAATATTAATATGATAACTTTAATCATTAATTTGTGCAAAAATTAAATACGTCCTCAACTTATCAATAAGCTGTACAATTTGAATTTATTTGTATAACAGAAAGTAACAAATCAGAATAAAACTTTTTCCACCTCTAGTGAAATCCCAAAAACTCTTAAATTTCCTCTATAAATAATAAAGCTATTAATAAAACCGGCCTAAGCACTTTCCGCACTAGGACCATTTGTCCGGATTAGCCGTTAATGTGTTCAGACCCTAATGGTTTAAAATGATACTGCTTTGTATTTATCATTCGCTTTGTCTACGGTTTTATAAACAATATCCATGACAAAACACAAAATTTCATTGCCTTTTGTTATAATAATAAATTATAGAAATATTAAAACAGTATTTAAATAATTTGTCACATGTAAATACATTTAAAAATTAATTTGAAGCATGATGTACGAATAGACCAAGCTATTTCAGTAGTGCTTTAATATGAAAAATCGGAAATTATTTTCCATTTCAAATTTATATAAAAACAAATACTCATTTAAAATGAAACTTTTATGACGATGAAATATAAAGGTGTTTTAATGAAACTCAAACAGAAATTGTGATTCAAATAATTCATCATATTTTTATTATTCCAATATCGAGCGATAAATAATATGAGAACTGTACTGAAGTTAGATTTATTTCCACTACCGGAGAAACACGTCTATTATAAAACATTCAAAACGGTCATTTATACCCTTCCACTTCGCATACTATTTCCTAGCCTATCCATCAATACTAACCAATTTGTATATTATTTCTAAAGAAAAATATACTTTATTATACTACAATAAGCTACGAAATCCCCGAGCAGCGATGCGAAGTCGGGAGTGGAATTCTTAAAAATCTGTATAAATAACTCAAGTTAGGGAATATTTTTGAAAAAGTTTTGCACTATGAAAATAGTGTAGCCATTTTTCATTGTAAGATTTTCAATTTTTATTATTTATAATAGAAAATGTTTTTATCGAGTTTTCTTTTGACGAAGATATACTCGTAGTTATTTTTGAGTTATATTTTATTCTATAAATCTACAACAACCATTTTTAATGTTTTAAAAGTAAATGATAATCCTCTTGATTTACATAATATGATGACACTAATTATATGAGTCTTTTAAAAGAAAATAGAAACAAAAATAACATAATATTAACAAATGACATTTCCCGTGTAAGCGACGGAGCATTTTTCATTCTGATGTTAGGAAAGCTTTGAGAAAATATACATTATTTTCATAATCCTTGATACAAATTTCTTTTTTTTGTAATGAATTTCCTGGTGTATATATTAATATATATAAATCTCTCTCTCTCTCCCTCTTAGTGGCGTTTCCTTATACATTCTGATGATGTCATGTGTCAATAGTATACTGAACTATGTAAATAGAGATATTTGTGAATGAACAAGGTCGTGAGTAGAGACTAAGATATTTACTGTATATTTTATTTAAATATTTTCTACTTACCACCTCTCAGTTCACAAAGCAGAGTGAAGTTACCACCTTCTTCCAACGGACCTACCACTCCGGCCACATCACGGCCAGCTTCGTCGTACAACAGTAGCTGATGTGGTGGTACTGTGGGGTAAAAATAGCCAAAATTTGTAACTAAATGTGCCAATTCTAACAAAAACGATCTCTTAAAGTGTAAGGAATTTTCCGCTCCAACTATTTTAGGGCTATAAGATACGATTCACGTAATATGAAGGTCCCTTATTTTTTCGTTCACAAGCCCAGAGAAATTTTTGGAAATATTTCTATTTTATTGGAAATTCTAACGTCATTATACACCGTTTGGGTTGTCAACTTTTAACACGCTTTTCACTTTAATATTTTGCTGTTCGAATTTAGCATTTTTGTCGACCACAGTTTCTGCACGGCTGGATCTGTTTCCGTTTCAATAAACCCTTTACAATGAAATTTTACTACAACAAAGTCAAAGGATGCACGTCATTATGAAGTATTCGTGAATTAAATTATACTTAAAATATACACTTTCTACACACATAACATTTTCGTGATTCAACTAAAAGTTTATTATATATCTTGATTAGTATGTATATTACAAAAATAACCATAATAAGGTTCATAAATTAATTTGATTATAAGAAAATTAATGTAATATAACGTTTCTAATTACATCTACAATTAATAAGGTCGACTTATAGATTTAAAGCAAATAACAAGGGCTACAACTAGTAGCTCGATCAGTCTAGCGATTTTGATAGACTCAACAAGTCACCGGATTCGTTGAGGTACATATATGAGGGTAAAACTAGTGAGCTTGTTTTAATAAAAAAAAAGCCGATCGTTCTGAAAAAATCAATCAACCAAGTAGCAATTTATTCGAAGTGAAGTAAAATATTGCAGTGTAAAAATTTGTCTGGTAAACTAATAACGTTTAATTTGACAGAAGCTAAACAAACGAAAACCACAATTAAGTTTTTACTCCACTAAAGATATCTTGTAAACAATAGTTAATTATTATTAATACAATGTCATCTAATACGCGATATTCATTAACTTTAACAGCAATAAACTTCAAAAGCGAAGACGTACTTGTGCGTTATTTGATATATTAAGTCGATCTGTTTGTCAACTAGTTGAGTAAATCACATAAGTGTTGACTAAGCACCTTCCAGCTGATTCACTGACAATTTAGCACTTTAATACGTGTGGAACAAATGTTGAAACAAGACTACTAAATTGTTTAACAAATATTATGTTCTTCAAGTATTTTAAGGATAAACAGAGATAAAATTGAATTTGCTTCTGAAATTGAGTGTATGAAATCTTCGCGTACGTTGCTCTAAACTTCCATAGTGTAGAAATAATATCAAATATCTTTAGCATATAAATTAATGGACCACTCACCAACAACGTTGAGACGAATTTGAAAGTTTCTGGTTGGAGAATTCTTGAAGTCGACCCTGCATCTGTAGATGCCTTCATCATCAAGCTGAACAGCGTCTACCGTGAGGGACGAGGGTCTGGACATAGTTACAAAGTAGGCTCGTCTTCCAAAGGCGAGAGGATCTGACCAATGCAGCGCTTTGTTGAAACTACGTCCGCGAACGTCAAAACTGAAATGGTATTTATTTGTATTAAAAGAGAATCAATGGAAAGAAACGTGAAATAAATATATTATCATACATTTTTTTATAATGCTGTCTAGACTAGGACTGGTGAATTGCACGTATTTATTTTATTTTTCGATTGTACCAATAAAATAATTCATACATTAATTTTATGATTCTGTTGAAACGTACGCTATTTCGCTTCAAAAGGCATTCTATTCGAGTTTTAAATGCAACCGAAATAGTATATTTGTTGACAAAGAAGATTAACACGTATTACATACGAGATAAAGCCTAATATAGGCTAAGCTAGACATGTTGTGGACTCTAGATCCTGTTAAACCGTGATAATCCATAGGGCCTGACCACAGCCAAACTTTTCCCCAACTACGAAATATGTATTGTCCACGTCAAACTTTCACTTTTTGCAAAAAAGATTTAAGTTTTTGACATTTAGGCTTTATATTTTTAAGAGGAGTCACTTTTATTTTTTCATTTACAGTGGATTATTCTTGTCTTCCGACCGACATCTTGGAAAACAAATGTAAGGGATTTTTTCGTAAACTAGAATTCCCACAGACATTTTAAATCATAATTTAATGAAGAAAAAAACATCTCAAACTTTTTTTCGTTTACTTGTATAAAAAATGCAATAAATTTACTTTTGGGCTTTATAACTTGTTTCTTGAAATTTTAAAGGGTTACTTTTCTAACTTTTATTAAAGTGTACGTACATACATACATAAAAAAATATAATATCAAAAAAAGTTGAATTGCCCACAGTGATTCCAATTCTTATTTTGCTATTCCGTAAATATTCACTTCCGATAATAATTATGTTCTCAAACGCATTTTGTACATCATAAAAAGTATAAAAACAAAAGTTTGAAAACCTCTTTGTTACATTAATACGTGCATTAATTTATCACATACAAGTTTTCATACATTAGGCCTACTTAAGTCGTTTTGTAAAATAAAGACATCTTAACTGTTCAGACGTTTATTTCGTAGGTGATTGGAAAAATTTCGGGGCTCGGCGGACCTTAGATAAATTAAAAATGTTAGACATTTGTTTTCAACATAGTTCTTATAAAAAATCTCCGTAAAATAACTGTACAGTAATTTAATGTGAACTTTACAGAAGAACATTGCATTGTAGAGTCCAAAACTTTATTTCAATTTATTTTAGTTATGTACATATGTTTAGTGCATAATTATTGAACTTCTTTTTACGAAAACACTAACAGAAGTAAAGTTGAAGACAAGTAAAATTATCAAACAAAAATATTCTATGCGATTTCAAGATCATGATATACAGCCAAAAAACTTTTGCACCCGTTATGCCTAAAAGGCGGCCGGGGTCGACCGGGGTACCACACAAACTTAAGCTTTCACTAATCCCACTATAAATCAAAAATATAATATTATCTCCTCCTAAAAACTTACGCTTAGAATAATAAAATATAACCTTTCAATGGGTTTTAACACTAAAGTCTATGAAAACATTATTATGACAATAGAAATAATATTTTAAACACATTTTAACAGATTGTTGAAACACTTCGCACGAATACAATATGCTTTTTCGAATGTGATTTCAAATGTCACAATGAGCTCTTAATTTCAGTGAATGACGAGACTGGCATTTTTATTTTTCCTTCCATTTCTCTTAATATAGAAATGATGAAAATTTTGTAATGATATTTAAGATATTCATGGAATTAACATGTTTGAATAAAACTAGATTATAGAAGTTCCTTCGCTTGTACAAATAACTTTTTCAAGGTACCGTTTTAAAATTGTATACCATAATTATTCAGAAGTATACAGGATATATTTCAATTAGTGATATAAATGGTTCTAGATTATTTTATTTCTTCACGCATTTCTCCGACACAATAAAAAAATATATACCTACCATAGTTTAAAAGAGTCTTTTTTCTAAAACAATTTGCGGTCTTAAAAATTATGAGTACTATTTAACAATAATCTTAATAAACCAAATTGAAGTATAGAAAAGAACCAAAAAAACATAATTTATGTGAGCAATAAAATGTACTTTCTTCTTCAGAGATGTCACTCAATAGACTGTTTATTGAAATTTGGCTATCATTTCGAGGTCTCCCAGACGTATTCTCAAAGATAGTCTAGACCTAGGTGCTCGTAAATAGTCTATACGGGGAAGAGAAACATTTACTCAGAACGCTTTAATAGTATTTAACTCCTTTACAATAGAGCTGCATGAAGTGGTAATCAAAACATAAGTGATTTGAGGTAGCTACAGTTAACCATTTATTCAATCAGTTAAAATTAGTTGTCTTGTCGCAGAGTCAATTTATTTTTAATGTTTTTAGCGTGTATCTATATGTGACTGAATTCTATGAGTTTCTACCTACTCGTGATGCTTAGGCGTGAAGGCACAGAAGATACGGCCACCTCGAATTTGAGTCTAAGAGTCCCAGTTTAAATTTACAATATTTTAGGTGCTTAGTCTTCTACCACTTATTTGTGTACTTCTAATTACTCTGAACCCACAAATTGTTCTCTTTTAAATATATATATCTTCTCATAATATGAAAGTCTGTTTCAAAAAAAAATCCTATTTTTTTTTTTTCACTTGAGCCACTTCGGAAGGGAACCGATCATATTAAGATGTATAATTATATATTATACATATGGTGTTTTAATCTGTTATACATACTTCAACATTTAAGCATCTCAATACTCAAAAAGTATTGTGAAAATATTGTTGAGGTTATATTTGTACATAGCTATTGTAGTTTTATAACGAATCGAATACTGTTGCCAAAGATTAAACGAGATCAGAAAAATATTTGATATAAAAATGGTTTAAAATAAAACATCTGAATAGAGCGACTAGATTTATAATAATCTTAATTAGCCTTAAAATATAAATTTAGTAATTTATATTATGACTATATCAATCAAACAATTTACTGTTTGAATAAAAAAGAATCATTATAATTAATGAGTCTTACAATAATATTAAATTAAAAATAAAATTCCCAAAGGTAATATAAGATCTAAATGAAATTCTATGGAGAATCAAAAAATAATGAGGAATGTCCAATTACTCAATATTAAATTATAAATCTATTGATATTGATTTTAATATTCAATAATTAAAGAACTCCAATAAATATTAATATAGCCAAAATGTTTAATTTAATATATAATATTTTAAAGTATTGTATATACTACCAGGACAATTATGATAGTATAGATGAAATATTATAACCATATTTAACGACGATTATTCGTGTAAATAAATAATAATTTTTGTGAGTTATCAAGAATCATATTTATGTCAAAAGAATCGAATGATTCCAAATATTATTCAGGTCTTAATTCAATAAACTTTGTCAGCACACAACCTGATTGAGCATAACGTTCAAACAAAGTAAAATAAAATTCAGTTGATTCGCATCGGATTTGTTCAAATACCCGCATTATAAATTTTGTTTTTAGCTTTTATTGTATTTAGTACGGCTCTTTTATGATTTTGGCTCTGAAATATTTTGTTCATTGAATACATATTTTTTAATCTAATAATCCTTTTTAAAATGTTTGTTAAATTTAATTTCGATGCACTGAAAAATAAAATACAACATACCAATTTTCTTGCAATGATCTAATATTTGTTCTTTAAAATTGAAATTTATTGAAAATAAGGAAAAGAGGGTTAAAAATAAAATACATATATTTATTGAGAAACATGACTTCAATGCACTTATTATAGAGGTTTTATTTGCCTAAACATAATTATCAGAATATATCAAAACAGACGAAACTGCAGTCAACAATAATGCAAGAAGTTATTCACGTAATGAAATTTAATATTATTGTGAGAAATAATATTTAGTTGGTACAGATGATAATAAGATGCATCAAATTAAATACCACAATAGAGTTTAAGCCAAACCACAGTTATATATGTCCTTGCTTCATTAAGCCGCTATTAAATCTACGAAGCAATTGCTTGAATAACACTGGCTTTAAACTAGGCTAGATATTCATTAATAAGGAGATTTTGCTTTGGCTTCTGTATTTTTGGTATTAATTCTTGGCTAGATGTTAGGTGTGGATAAATTTTGTCTTTCACTATATTCTGCCGTATGGAATTGCCAGTGCCTTAACTCGGATAAACATGTTTTATTAACAGTCTTCTTTTATTAGCATTTATAATTCTGGAAATTAAAAAAAAAACTCAAATGATTTAAAAAAGTGAAAGATTTCGAACGATTGCCGAAGCTATCATACATATACAATGATTATGTCTACACCAAATTTAGCTTATTCCTCAATTTGCTTATTTATTGTAAATTGAATAAATTGTCAAGATGAAGACGTGATCTTTTTTGTTTTAATTTTAGATACCACGAGAACGTATTCAACGCAATAATAGTTACATTCTATAGCATTAAAAATATTTTGTATTTTGTCTTTTGTACAAATATTTGTCATTTAAAATTAATTTAGATCTTGCTATACAAAACAAATTTTTATCTTTCATTCTTCAAATATTAATTAATATTTTTTCTAAAGATTAATAAATCTTAATTAACACTGATAAGGAATGTGAAAAGAAAAAGAAGTTCTTTTAATATTTAATAATTAAAATATTTGTCTCAATCAAAGGACTTAAATTCCATTCCGCTTTCGCTTGTGACTTGTAATGGAACAATGAAGTCAATGAAGCATCCAGCCTACGGAACGTTCTTCTATATTTCAAGATTGTGACGTCAGAAATACGCTGACGAACTATTTGGTAACAAACACACTTACTCCGAGAATTACTTCAAGTGCTCCGCGTAATGAATATTCTAGGAACGAATGAATTATGGAGATTAAGACATCTGTTTGATTTTGAAATGAGTCTTGGCTTGAAATTAAGACGTTTGTACGAACGGAATATGTATCTACGCCGAATTACTTTGACTCACAGGGATTGTGACTACATAAATATATAACACCACTCTCGTTTAAACTTCCAATGGACACGATAGGTGTAGTCAAAGTAGTCGTTTTATTTTAAAATATGCTCTGACAATATCCGAAAATACAATTTTATTTAAGTTCACATATCCGTAAATTTTCAGAAACTTTTGTGCCACCGAGCACCAAATATCAAATAAAATCAGCGGGTGAGAGTACTCTTCTCCAAGAAAACTTAACTAGTTACCACCTTGGATTCTTCGAGAAGTGGTGAAATTTTATAAAACTTTTTTTATGTAATCCAAATGTAGAGATCGTATGTACTCGTACAAAACCGAGATAATATTATTCCCCTCAATTACAAAGCCTAAAAAAACAAACAGCAAGGGCCAAATAAAAAACTCATAAAATTCATTACAATTATTATTAAACGGAAAATCGTAGTACCTTTTTTGGAAAAAGTATAAATAGTAAAAAAGAAGTAAAGAAAGATTTTTCCCTCTTGTACCACACAAAATGTAACGAAGCGGTAAGACACTTTGAGTCTTCTGCTCCAATGAAATTTCAATATCACCAACATTGCCGAGTTGGCAATCGAGAAATAGAATTGTATGTCCGTGTACATCTTTCAACGGGTAATTGGAAAATATTTACTAGTTATATCTGGTGGACAAATATATCTCATTAAATACTTATATATTTTTAGTAACCCCCATATTAAATATATATTTTTAGTAACCCCCAAAAATGTTTGAAATATCAATAATACTTAAATCAAAATTCAATTGAAGGTAACGTTAATTTACAAAAAACCTAAAAGTATTTGTTTTTCAACATATCAACGTATTTATTTATTTCAGTTAAGAAAAAACCAAATCAATATGTTAATTAAAAATATATTTTAATTCACTATGTATTTGATATTGAGAATTAAATAAGTTTCATTGCATTTTAACATGGTCACAAAAGCTAGCAATGCTCAATAACATTCTGCAGATTAACCAAAATTAAATATACCATTTCAGATAAAAAATATACTAACTTCACACTCTTTATTGTGATTATAACAACATTTATTCTTAACATATTTCCCACTATAATATTACTTACGTTAACACATATAACATTAACAAGTCATTAAAATTTGTAATATAAGTGTATCAATCATTTAATAACACGATTTTAGCGTCTGTTCCCTTTGAATAGAATGATCCATCAAATTACTCAAATATAATGACGACAAACATGGATCAGATATTTTCAAACCATTAAACAAAATTGCACATTTGAGAAACAGCAATTTAGTTGGCGTTAATATGCATCTCGTGTCAATCATCTGCGTGGATCGTGGCTCTCAATAATCCACTTTGTGAAACGCCTCGTTTCATTCAGGGATGTCATCTCAACGACATTTATGTAGGCTGTGATGTTTGTAAATGGTTTATTTACTGCTTTATAAAATTTTGTATCATTTATTAGTATTTATTTATATATTATGATGCAATTTAATGTTTTATTCTTGTTATAGCAAATGAAATATCTTCGGGCTTGCTTGAAACTTTGTAAAAGTGTTTATTAACTCAAATCGAATACAGTAACTCAATTTAATTCTTGAGACCACTTTCAGTACTATTTGATCAGTTTAAAAATGTATTTTTATTTATAATAATATTTGTTTGCTGACAACCCTGTGATCGTTAACGAGGTGTGTACAGTCGGTGATCGGCTCAGCGCCTTCTACAGCTCAAATTTGCCCCTCATAAGAGGATTTTATGTACTTACGAAATTTGTTAAGCATGTATATTTTTAAATAGAATGAGATGTATTCAAAGACATCTATCGTGAATCATGATCTATTTAAAGCACAGAACATAGACCATTTTTAAGATAATCATTAAATAAAAAATTGTAGAATAAAATCTAGGATTCTAAAACAAATAGCATCAATTATAAACTATGACAGCAAAAAGGAACCAACGTAACAATTCAATAAGTTATAAATTAAAGTTCAAAGTGTATTTTCAAACATATTTATAATACTCTTTTAGTTGCACTCATTCATTTAAAAAAAGGGATCTATATCATCAGCAACGGTGTCACGCTATGGAACTTTAAGATACATATTTTCCTTGAAAGTATAAGTTTGGCAACTATTGGTGACATAAAAATATTTAAGATTTAACTTATAATACCAGCCTTTCTGTGAATATAAATAATTTTAGCTGTTAATATAATTAGCTGTAAATATAAATAATTTAGAAACAACGTCTTAATTAACCAGGTTACCATCGTAAATAATAATCGAAGGCGCGTAGTAATAAATAAAATTTATCATAACAGCAAAAGGAATGTTCAATTACGTATCCAAGTGCACAATAACAATTAATCACGAAATCCATTAAGTAAAGCATCATTAATAATGTGATCAAAATAAATTCGATGTCTATTGAGAGATGTCTATATGGAACCAGTTACGAGCTATCACGAACTACATATACATGCCGATTTTCATACATAGATATACTGATTACTTTTGTACGTACCCGATCACCTTATTTGAGCCGCGTCATTACCTTCAATTAAATTTCAACCTATGTTATTTCGCGTATTTTTTATCGCATACCTTTTCAATATTTTGACACAGAAAAATTTATATAACTATTAATATCGTATGAGATAAAACTGAGCTCGTGAAAAATGTATTCATTCGTGAAACGATTCATCTATGTTCAGACACATAAATTACTATTTCACAGATATTGGCAATACATATACGACTGATATTACTGTACGTTTTACCTACATTTTAGTTTTCGATACGGCCTTGTCATGCTAGTGTTATTGATGACGAGGATGAAAACTCTTCTGAAGTTTTTCTCTTTATTGAATTTGATTATTCAATGCTATGAATATATTTTTAAATAAAAACCCGATTGTTATAAAAAAATGTAGTTTTTTTAAATTAATTCAAGGTATATATAGACATACGACGTCGAAGATAATATGTAAATTATTAGTTTAAAGAATGATGTAAAATAAAGATCGGCTTCCTTGTGGTAAATAAAAAGGCATTCGAATATAAAACTCCACAAAATACTGATCTATAACAATAATTAGTAATTATACATTTAGAATATGTTTACTTGTAACATATAAACATGTATAAATTATACATGCCCACATACCTAGTATGTGCATATTGTATGTCTGAGATCAAATAAGATCTTGTTATCTCATATGCATGCCCACAATTGACTTTTCAGGAGAAACCACAATCAAATACATATATACGGATTATAAAGCAAACGTTTGGTTTCAATGTAAACCTAGTAATCACCGGTAATCATTGGTAATTACATTAATGTTATCCACCATATCATTGGCTTTGCTTACAGCTATTCCAGGATTTAGACTATTGAATAATTTACATACCACTTAACATGCACACTCAATGGTCCTTAAACATTGATCAAGCATATATTGAAGGATAGATTTCAACATTTGTAGTACTTGTTATATAAATTTATACATTAAAGCAATTTTGAACTGACTATCTATATTCCAGAACTTGTAGATCCGAAACCAATTCATGTCGATAAAATTATCACTCTCATTTAAAAATTTTAAATTGAATTTTGACTTAATAATACATTGATACGAAATGTAGTTAAAGTTTTATTATCTGATTAGTATAAGTGTATTTATTTGTTCCAATAATTTTTATATACATGTATAGTAGTTTTTCCCGTGATTTCGTCCACGTTAATTTCGTGGTAATATATGTATAGCTAACCAGATATTGGAATTTATTAAGTTTTTATCCTATATCTGTCTTCTGGTTCTAAGCTACTTCTCCACAAATTTTCAACCATATCCCTAATGCCGTTCTAGAGCTATAATTATTGTAACTGAAACAACTTTCTATTATATATAAAGATTAATTTATATCCAATATTTTGGATTCAATTTAGACGTATATTGTAACTGCATTTAGAATTACAATTCTATGAGAATACAAACCTGTACAGTGGTTTTCCGCCAGCATGTCTGAACCATAGCACCATGTACACTCGGTCTTCATTGGAGTCTGGTTCTATATCGCAAGGCAGCGAGGCGGTTCGCCCCACGACAGCCTCTACATCCATTGTGGAAACTGGAACAAAGTCAGCTAAATTTGAATTGATTTGAGCGCTTTAATACGGCTTAGAGATATTTGTAATATGAACAATAAATGAAATAATATCATGAGGTATATATTATACATAATTATGATAATGTATACAGAATAATTTATATAATAATATCAATCAAATCATTGTCATTTACTTCACTTATTGATTCAAATCTAATTTTACTCAAATCTAGTGACGTCATTACAGTTCTAACTAGAACTTGACACGCGATTTTGAAAGCAAATATATAGTAAAAAAAAACTGCTGTAAACCAAGTTAATAAACTACTTTAATTGTCAGTAATGCTTAAACAAATATCGTATCGTGGGCTTATTTCAAAATATCAATTTCAATGATAAATATTTTAAAGATTAATATAAAATATTTTATCTATTAAATATGAAAATGCTTTAAATGCGTGGTGTGAATCTTTTATATGCACCAATCAAAATAACTATTAAATTCGCTTATTAAAAAAGGATTTCCGTCAGTAGTGGGAATACAATGTTATCAAGACCTTATCGAACGAACGAATGAATGATTGAATGAATGAATGGAACAAATAAAGATCTTTTTAACAGTAACGGTTCCATTAATATTATTTATTCCGTTGCAGTAATCCTTTAATTGGATTTTATATTTATTACCCCATTCCGTTCATTACTACAGCTTAATTTTAACGTATATATAGCAATCAGTTGATTTACAGCTAGTTTTAACAATTAGTCGTAATGATAATTCGTTTCATCTATTTCAATAAAAGTGCTGAAGTGTTTCATCAAATTTTATTAAAGAACGTTAGTTAATAAGGAGAAATATGTCTTTGGACAAGAAAATTTTATGTTCAATTAAATACCACGCTATTCTATAATTTTAAATTATATTTCTTTTTACTTTATCTTTCTTTTCTATTGACAATATTGTTTAAAACAAATATGTTTGTAAGATCTTTGGCAAGTATTCATTTAAATGAAACTAATATTTTTCGGATTACTACCCGTATTTCATTATTTTAAACTACATACTCCAGACGTTTCGGTTACTTTTCAGCAACCGTGATCATTAAGACGAGATGTGGATGTCTGTCAGTTGATCTTATTTTAAGTAGGTAGTATGTAGTTTTTACAGTATTAAGCCTAAACGATATAAAAACTAGAGTTAAGTTAATTTAAGCACATGAAAGTGCATTGATAATTATTTCCCCTTCAATATGTGGTTTATAATTTACGTAGCAATGAATCGTCGGTATAGACTCATATTTTACGGTGCGTCACTATCACAGCAGTTTTCTCATTACATAACTATTACTGTTATTTTATGAGCGGTTTATTATCCACGTGGCATAATTAAATTGGACATTTACGAACAGTGTTTTAATATTTTCATGAAAAGTTAATTCACAAAGTTATCTTAAAAAATATTAATAATTTTTTCATTGGTTACTGAAACTGTATGTACATAAACTAATAACGTTACAAACACGAGCTCACTTTAATGCTAGATAAACTTGGCACCCAAACGAGCTCACTTTAATGCCAAAATTTATAACTATATTTTCGTTTTATCAGAACCTTCCTCTCACCGGATCCCAATAGTTTCTGATATTTGAAATTTAACGCTATTTCGAAATAAATTTTAACCACAAATTTTTGTTTGATATAAATCAATTTATTTTTAATAATAATAGTATAAATGAATAAAAATTAGAGGTGATTGTAACCATTATTAAAACCACAACAAAGTCAGCAATAAAAAAAACAGATCTTAGTAACGACAAATAGTTATAAATTTTACGACCAAATCTGTATGTATGTTTTTGTATGTGGCATTATAGCTCTCTACGGGATCAGTCGAACTTTGAAGTGGTTTTTTCATCAGAAAGCCAGTTTTCCTATGATAGTTTTTAGTTGTGGGTGATTAAAATCTTGTAGTGTAAGAATCTGAGTACTTATTCAAAATGTTGTAAGGCTTTTTTTCATGTATAATCGGTTTGATTAAAATGTATTAACTTAGCTATATTATATTATTTAACTATAAATTGATCTGCATAATTTATATTAAATTTTAAGAGTTCATTTACCTATAATAAGACTTTTTAACTCACGCAATTGCTTGACAGTATCTACAAATAAAATCTTCGAAAAACATTGAATGTTTTCTGAAATGAGTCGAAATATAAAGAAAATTATTTTGTTATATTAATTATCAAATTGACGTTCCAAAGAAATTATATTTATTGGTAAAACAATTATTTAAACGAATAAAATATTAAATATTGAATTTAAATCAAGATTAAAGTTTTAAAAATAAAATATGTACGTATAAAGTGCGGTGTAACAATCCCGACACTTCGTTTTAAAAATGTATGAATGAACAATCCGTTTTCATTTCACGGGTTCGCGTCGTACATTTATTCCTTGATATTTTCGAATTATTCAAAATTATTTTAGTGCAATTTCAATTTCAATTGATTTTGATTGTTGTTTTAATTGAATTTTACAATTTTTTTATGAAAATCTCATTCGATTTCATCTACAGTTCATTGTTATACTAGGAGAATGAGTATTATAATAATTGTATTATAAATATATATAATTAATAAATTTTATATTAAGTGTGAGGTCTTTGCTTGTCAGTGGGCTCTGATAGGCTGATGATGATGATTGTATTAAGCGTATTTTTTCTTATTCTTCCTGGCAATTTCCCAGCTTTAGCCAAGGTCTGCCTTATATGTATATTATGTTGTGAATAGTTTTGGCTAATTTTTTAACGACCGGCCGACTGCCTGACATCAACCCTCTTTGGGAATGCATTAATCAGTGATGTCTAATTACTCTTAGAAAGTACATAAGACTCGGAAAAATCACATTGGTGCTTGCCAGGAACCCGCGCCCTCATGCATGAGAGGTGGGCCTTTTAACCACTAGGCCACCACAGACTTTTTACTGATTTTAAGTGTAGGTATTTTATATTATTAAATATCTTAGTTTGTCTAAGGTACATGACTATAAACTTGGCTATGTAATACAGTGATAGTACACATATATATGATATAATATGTTAATACGTAATGTTATCAAGTTTGGAGATATAACTTCCTGTTTCCTATGTATATGTACAGTCACCAGCAAGACTTTATCGAGCGTCGTTTGGCCGCTGGTGGTCGTTACATTTTACGTGAAATAAAACGTACCGCATTCAGATGTAATAACTTTTATAACGTCGTAATTCCTTGAAGTTCAAATGTTATAATCATAGAATAATTCTGTTTATAGTTGTAATGATGACACGGTTTATGTAGCATATAAAGTTAAAAAGAATTATAATACATAGTATATATAAATATATTAATATTTAAGGTGGTAGAGCCTAGCTGCGGTAAAGTAACTACAGCTCACACATGGGCTGGCTCGACCAGGGAAGTAGTACCACCCTCTCACAGAAGACCGGCGTGAAGCAGTCTTTAATGGCTACGTTTCATCCGATAGGTGAGAGAGCAGGTTACCCTTTCCCTCTTCCCACCCTCTCCTACCATTTCCTTCTTCCTCAACAACCAAAGATGGCAACGCATCCGCAACATCTCCTATGTTGCGGATGTCTATGGGCGACAGTAACTACTACTCATCAAATAGGCTCAATCTGCTCAATTTGCATCTTTTCCCTTTCCCATAAAATAAATATGTTTTTCAAGTTATGTTTAAATAAACTGAAATTAATCTTCAAAAAATATCTTGTTATTTTTATATTATTATATAAAATCGTTATTTTTCAATTGTTAAAAAGATTAATTTTGTCCAATAAAAATTCCAAGCCTTAAAACTGTTCGGCACAAGGTAAATCCCTTTAGAAAAATAAATTAAGCCGATTACCATAAGGTACAGACTAATTTAAATAAGATCTCAATATTCTTATTTTATTTGTATATTCTTTAAGTAAACAATCATTCATTTTCTTTTATGTACAACACAAAAATACCTAAGTGATAACAAGCAATGCATTATTTTTACAAAAGTCTAACAAAGTATAATATGACGTATACCAAAAATAATATAATATGAAAACAAAACAGGTTTCTTCAATGGAAGAAACAGCCATTTTATTCTCATTAATAAGCTTTTTACTCAACTTTTTGTCGCCAGTCGTATCATGGCGTAATGATGGTCGTTTAGCCAAAAAGATAGTAACATTTTATATAAACCATTTCTTAACTTGTATATTTTTCTCTGGACTTCTTTCGTACTTTTGAATAATGCCCTACTTAAATATAAAAACTAATAAGCGTAGAATACTCATGCATTTTAAATAAAAAAATTAGAATCATTTCTTTTTGACGTTCGTAATAAATTGTATGGAATAGAATTAATAAATGTATATATGTACGTATATTAACTTCGCTATATACTATGCATATAACATTTGTTTAAGACTTACATTATTACTGTCACTATTGTCAGGAAATTTCAATTTATCTCAGTAGTTTCACGTAGAAAGAATATAGTATACAAAATACATATATACATATATATATATAGCAAAATGCCAAAAGTCAGTAGAAAATATGTCTTAGAGTTTTATAAATATGAAAGATTAATCTAGTTTCTTAAAAATTTAAGATTGAACAAGTTATTAGGTTGGTGCGTATGAAATGTCGGATTCTTAACTGATTGTACAAAACTGCATATCCTTCCTCAAAAGCTGTTTATTCAGTTAAAGTATGCTCCGTTCGCTTCAATACATTTCTTCCAACGAGATTTTAAAGCCTAGATGCCTGTCTTAAAAAAATGTTGTTCTTTAGAATTAATAAACTCTGACATCGAGTTTTTTAGACTGTCTTCATTTTCATAGTGTTTGCCCCTTAAAAACAGCTCTAAATGCTTGAAAAAATGAAATTGTTCGGCGAGAGATCCGGTGAATAATGTGGAAGCTGCAAAACTTCATATTCCAGTTCGTTCAGTTTCACAATTGTTTTGTGCGATGTATGCGGCCGAGCGTTGTCATAGAGCAGTAGCGGGCGATGCAACTTGTCCATCTTCTTAACCTTGCCAATCTCAGAAAGGTGTCTCAATATTGTTGAATGGTCAACTTTCATCCTGATAGCAAGTTAGGCTTCCACTAGAGCCTTCAGGTCATCATTCTTCACAGAGGTTTTGGGATTTCCGCGCGGCTCATTTTGCAGTGAAAAATCGCCAGTCCAAAAATTTTCGAACCAACGCTGCACTTTCCGATCGTTAACAGTATTCTTTGCAAACGCTTGGTTTATGTTGCATGCAGCTTTTGCAGCAGTATTACCAAGTTTAAACTCATATGAGAAAAAGACGCGAATGTCAGTAGAATTCATATCGGCACTAAACTCAAAAGAAATAACAAAAAAGAAGACTTTCGAGAAAACTTATTTTGCTGAAATGAGTCTCTGGCAATGGACAATACGACTATGAATGAGGTTATGCCAAAGACAAAAGTATAACGAAAACAGGGAGACAAACGTCCGCATGTAAAGAGAATGCGACATTTCATACGCACCAACCTAATACAATGTAAAACTTAATTAGTTGATATCCCATTTATTAATTAAAATCCGGATTAATTGCTGATTATTCAAAATAATATTTTTTTGCATACAAACATATATTTTTTAACTTCATATTATTGTATATTATATATTACTTATTAATAATATGAGATACGGCAAATAACTTAAAAATAGGTGTTAATAAAAAGAGTGAAATGAAGTTATAAAATACCAATTTTAAAGAAAACATTACTTTTGTTTAGTTTAAACATTATAATTCTAAAAAATTTTCTCTCTATACTTTAGTATATTTAAGAGATATTATATTGTTTGATATATTAATAATTATTAATAAAAGGATTTTTATTCGATACTGCTATCTACTAGAATGTTTTCAAGTACATAATTCTTTTCTTCTTCTACCTGGCAATTTCCCATCTATAGCCAGGGTCTGCCTTACATGTTATGAATAGTTTTTGGCTATTTGTTTTTACGACCGGCCGCCTGCCTGACATCAACCCTCTTTTGGGAATCAACACTAATCAGTGATGTCTAAATACTCTTAGAAAGTACATATGATTCGGAAAAATCACATTGGTACTTGCCCGGGCCAGGATCGAACCCGCACCCTCGGCAACTCGGCGACTAGAGGCCGAGAGGCGGGCCCTTTTTAAGACCACTGAGATACCACTAATAGAACGATTTTTATTTGATACTGCTATCATCTACTAGTAGTACATAATTCTTTTCATAGAGGTAAAAATATGGAATTTCTAAAACTAAAAGAAGGAAATTTAAAAAAAAAGATGAAGTAACTATGTAGTACATCTGCAACATTAGACAACAATTGCAAGTCTCTAACTTTTATATTTTCAGCTACACAAACAGGATAATTCTGAAGTTGGAGAAACAATAGAAATTTGTGAACATTATTATCAAAGAATAATCTTCTCCATCGGTTTCGTTACAAGGTTTGTGCATATTTGTCCCAAACCAAATTAAATATCATTAAAGCTAATTCAATTCTACAGTAAAATCCCTCTGGTGAATATCCTTTTATTTAAGATAAAAGGTTCTCTGTGTTATACCCATAAAATGTTTAGTTTCATAAAAACAAAATCTAATCTATGAGTCCAAATAAAACTAAAAAAGGCAGAATATCCACCCTAGATACTCTATAAAATGAAATTGTCAAGTCCAATGGCCAAAAGTTTAAACTGTTTCATTTTCCAACACATAATGTATTGTGGCGATCGTAGCGATCAATAGTCGACGCGATATTTCGGTAAGATTCAAATTTATGGCTTCGTAAATACGCTTTAAAATGAACTGCATAAATATGATAGGGAATACGGTCATAAAATAATATATGTTTTTTACGTAAATGCAAAAAGGAAGTGATATATTTATATACACTTATATATTTACTTATTTAAGATTATAACATTATTTACTTGGTACTACATTATAACTATAATCACTTTTACTCCTACAGTCATTATTAGGATTCAAAAGGAAACAAAATATAAATTATTATATATGTAGAGCGTATATCCATACGAAAAAATAATTAAGCGATCAAATGTCTGAAACTATATGTAGTATCTTATTTGTTATAATTTATTAAATAAAACAATTACTAATAATGTCGCAGCCATTATTAGCACCCAATTAATACAAACATCAAATTAATTAACTATTCAGTAGCAACGGTAAGGTCAAAACCTCAAAACGTTCATGATACCAATTAACGTCCTTCCTTACGAGTTCAAAAGGTTCTTTGCTTCAAGCAGACCGATAACGCGGCTCGCTGGTTCCTTTGAAAGGATTCCTTGCTAACAGAAAACCCGCAAACGTAATTGGTATAATACCTTAAAAATAAATGCTTTTAAAACATGCTTTAAACTAACACGATAGTTGTTTTGCCTAGTAACCGTATATAGCTGTAGTTTAGTTGGTTTTAATTAAATTTTTATGTTTATATACTTCAATAATATCATACATAATATTTTTTTATAGAAGTATCAAATAATGGTATTGGTACGCTAGTTATATAAGATGAGTTTCACTGCCAGCTAGACATTCCAGGAAAACTACAAAACTTACGTATGTGTATATTATAATGAAAAAAAAAAGTTACTATAACTTGTAACTTATACCTAAGACTACAGGGTTGGCGCTATATTAGAATAGCAATGCCATTCCATTGCTTGTGCAAGAATCTTCTCTTGCACACGGCCAAGTTTTAATTTCGGGTAGTCAGCAACGGCACTCGTTATATGATACTTTATCCATACAACGATGTTTCCTTTGCACTATTCGCTTAGTATTCAATATATTGTGTATATTATTGAAGTACTATAAATGAAAGTTTTTCTTATGCTAAAGAGGCAAACCAGTAGACGGTCTACCTGATGAAGGTAGTACCGTCGCTCATGGACGTCAACATCTTAGTTTTGCGGATGTGTTGCCACCCTTGATGTGGGTAGAGGAGAAAAAGGAGATCACAGGAGAGGGTAAGAATAGTTAAACGGCAACCGTCTCTCTCACTCATCAGACGAAACAAAGCCACTAAAGTCTACTTCACGTCGATCTGTGAGAGGGTGGTACTTCCCCGGTCGAGCGAACCCATATTCGAGCTGCAGTAACAGCCAGGTTCTACCATCTTTGGAAAGATGTTTGAAATATATACTAAATTCAGGAATTAGGCATAAATAATAATATAAATGTTTACAAAGCCTCTCACTAGCCTTCTCCATTTATTTCATATCATGACTGTACATACTTTTCTTAATTATCCGTCTGACAGCCTTTTATTTATTAATTCACGGTCTTTTCTTTATACCTTGTCTCACATAATCCATCCAAACTTCCCTCAAACCTCCTCTACGCTCTTATTGGTCAACATTATCTCTTCTTCCGTTTATATTTTTTACACCTTCTCATAACATGCTAAACTATTGCTCACTATATTCATTTTTCTATCATTAGATTAAAATAAAAAATTAAAATTCCAACAATGTAAGCCACAATATTGAATGCGTTACCGTATCGATATCACCTGCTACCGTATACGGATTCCGTATTGTTATAACAATGCAATCAGCAATGAAGCGAAGTCTTCGTTTTCCGGACGCGATATACCGTTGCAATGTATTTCAAAGCGTATATTGTAATTGCTATACGTTATAACCAGTAGGTCACGGCAAATATCTCTTGTTGATAGATATTAAAACTTGGCAAACATATTTGTTATATATGAAAAATATACCTTCTCTTTATATAGTTAATACGTTTTTAATATAAATAAGAATTAATATTATTTGTGTTTCTTTTTCAATGTTTTATTATTCTAGTTATTCGTTTTAATTTCATTTACTTATTTATTTATTTATATTAATCATGACTTGATAAGACCTTTATTGCCGAATTGTAAATGATGAAATTATTATTAAAGTATACACAAAACTATGAGTTTTTCATAAATTTCACATATCTTTAACTCATAAAGTCTTTATAGACAAATTTCGGTACAGGAAATGTTCTAGTTTACATAACTCTCCCCGATAAGGTACTTTCAATACGTCCAACATAAATTTAACTTACTTACTTACTTACTTACTTTCTTCGGCGCTACAACCCTTTGTGGGTCTTGGCCTCTTCCACAATAGACTGCCATGCGCGACGATCCTTGGCTGTCCTTCTCCAGTTCGTAAAACATTTCAGAGCCTTGAGATCATCTTCGATGCAGTCGCACCATCTCTTTCTCGGCCTTCCTCTAGGTCTCCTTTGCTGCGGCTTCCAGTCGGTCATAATCTTGGGTGCCCTGTTTTTGCCCATCCTCTCTACGTGCCCAGCCCATCTCAGACGCTGTGACTTGATGAATCGGACGATTGTTTCTCGGTTCATGAGTGCCTCCAGCTCGTGATTCATGCGTATTCGGTAGTCACCGTCTGCGTCTTTCACTGGCCCAAACACTTTGCGCAGAACTTTCCTCTCAAACACGGCGAGCTTTTGGGTTTCTAAAGCTGTTAGTGACCATGCTTCACACCCATAGGTGGTGACGGGGCGTATTATGGTCTTATAGATAGACAGCTTGGATTTTGCACTAAGATATTTTGATCGGAAAAGTTTGCTGAGAGAGTAAAAGCATCTACTGCCAGCCATTATTCTGGCATTCACCTCATCTCCAACCTTATTCCGGCTGGACAGTATCGACCCCAGGTACTTAAAGCTGCTGACTCCTTCAATTGTATCATCTCCAATGGTGACATCCTGTAGTGGACGAGGGTTGCGCGTGCTATGAAGGTACTTCGTTTTGCTTGCGTTAACCATCAATCCATACGTTGCCGCTTCCATCTGGAGAGTTGTGGTGTGTCTGATCATGCTGCTTTGAGACCTGCTTGTGATAACGATATCATCCGCATAGGCGGCTAGCTGACTGGTGTTATAGTCTAAAAGCCCTTTTACTCCTACGTTTCGGATGGCTGCCTCCAGCGTAAGGTTGAAGACAACAGTAGATAGGGCATCTCCTTGCCTTACTCCTGAGCGTATTTCGAATGGGTCCGATATGTCATTTTGTATAGCTACTACCGATTTCGAGTTACACATAGTAGCCTCAACCAGGCGCACTAGTTTACATAAATTTAACATTACATTGAATAAAAAAATTCTAAACTAAAAAATGTTCTAAGATATAGTAAAAAAAAATTAATTAAGGCTTAATGTTATACGATAAAATATGTAAGGGTATAGACACCGCCCGTAATGGGAGAGATAATAGCTTGGAGTAGCGATGATGCAGGCGAGATACGCTCTGCATAACACTGCAGACGTGATAAAATATTCTGATAACATATTCTCTTGCATCCTATTCCTTTTTAATCAGATTTTTATGTAAAAAGTAATATTTATCCCGCGTACTCGCTAAAATTTTTTCGTGAGATATTATTTTCTAAAACATACACGTAAATCTTCGTATATAAAAATCGCTCGTTTAAATTATTAGAACATTAGATTTAAGTTGTTAAACATTGTCAAGAAAGTCTATTTATTTAGTGACAATAAAGAAAAGATAAGCCAAAAACCATTAAATTTAACCACAAAACTGAACGCCACAGCCACATTATAACAATGTATAAACGTTACTATCGATATCACCTGCTACCAGAAACAGTTCCGCTGGAGTTATAACAATGCAATCAGCAATGAAATGAATCCGATGAATTCCGAACACTATACACTAGAGTTGTAGTGTTTTAAGGCGAGAATAGTTATTTCAATACGCCATCCCAGTTATACTGGGGCGATATACAGCAAATGTGTTCCGCTTAACAAGTGATAGGAAAGAAATTACAGTTTCATTTATATTATAAATTGTTTGCAATCTTTTTTATCTTTAGTTTTATCTCTTTAAGTTTACGATTAATTAAACTATACTATCTCATTAATATTTTAATTCGTTAAAAATGTATATACATTGGATTTTTCTCGTTTAATTTACAAAGTTTTTTTCTAGAACGTTCTCAAAGGAGTTGTTGAAGTTAATTTCTATAGCCGAAAGTATAAATTAATTTACTACTTTAATAAGTGGAAGTGAAAGAAGCGACTTCATTTGCATAATAACACGCCGGGTTGGTAACTTATTTCTGATTACATCTCCTTATCTTAAATACAGCCTTCCAGTTTTCCTAAATGTTAACTTGGTTCAAAGCTCACTAACATTTTAACGAGAATTTATTGATTAAGATGAGTTTTGACAAAAGCCTAAGTTGTAATCCGTTTATTGCTCATTCAAATTCGACCTGTTTAATTAAAATAAAAATTCACTGAAGCACGTTTTTTATTTAGCCAATTGAGTTAAATTTCGACCTACGCTGAATACTCGTGTTGAAAACATCATAGTATTATAGAATTGTGAACTGGGTAAGTATTATAGTTAGCGTTAAAAAAGGCGAATTCTGGGCAAAAAAAAAACATATCTATTAAATTTTATTTTTAATAAGAAAAAAATAATAATATGTCTTTTAAAAACTTAACATTATATTCAAATTCGTTCATTTCATACGCCTCTCATCACGTCTTTGTGTTGTTTCAATCAGCTTTGAGATCCTGTCAAGTAAAGTGCTTGTGGGCTTTAAATTGTGTAATTAAATGTTCGTGTTTTATCCTCACTAAATATTATGAAAGTGAAAATTTAATAACTTATTCTTATAAAGATTAAAACATATTTTTATAAAACAATATATATATATCAGGAATATAATTACATTCCAATACCTATTCAGATTTGATAGACGGTAAAGAAAAAACATCGTGAGGAAACCTGGACTTATAATTTCACAATTATAAGTTTGTAATCACCAACGCGTCTTGAGCAAGCGTGGTGATTAATGCTCAAACCTTCTCCATGTGAGAAGAGGCCTTTGCTCAGCAGTGGACTCTGTTAGGCTGATGACGGCTTGTTTATACGTATTCAAAAATTGAGTAGTTAGTAAAATTCTTCTAACCAAAATCACAACCACTTTAATATAGAATTCTTTGTCAAAACTTCAACTATAATGACTGTTTGAGAGTATTTTATTAAATTATTAAGTTAAGTTTTAAATAATTATTATTTACACTAAACGTCCTTTCATACAAAGATCATTTTTTTAATTATTTTTTTAACCATGTCTTATGTATTAAATAAATAATGAGCCTATATAATAAGGATAGCCAAAGTTAATAAAGACAGAAATGTATAGTACTAAGCTTAGTTTATTTCAGCTATATATATAATATCACAGATAAAGTCCACGAGATATTCTCTTAATGTCAGTAATAAAACATATTTATTACGTCTTTTAAGTTTTGAATTACATTTTCATTCCTGATCTTAATGTAAATGAAATGTTTAATTTAAAAATAATATATATTCATGTTACAATAAAACTAAACACACGGTTAATTCTTCTGTATGTATGTATATACAAAAAAATCATATATACTATAAGAATCCCTACTTTCCTTGGTCATGATATCACACGTTTGCGGATAGACTACTTTCAAAATTTTCTATCTTGTGTTATTTTTTATTTTCAGGAGAAGATTCTTATCAAAGAAGTATTAAATTAAGTTCACAATTACTTTTACTATAAATTCTCTTAGACAAGTCCTAGAATGGAGACCGCGAGTAGGCTATCGTAAGGTAGGACGCCCCCTTGCCAGGTAGACTGACGACTTGAAAAAGGGTCGCTACAAGGGACTGGATGCGGAAGGCGGAGGACCGGGTATTGTGGCGTGAATTGGGAGAGGCCTATGACCAGCAGTGGACCAAGATTAGCTAAATGATGATATATTTTCATGATATACTAAGCATAATTTTAAATACTGACAGTTATTTATTATTAAAATTAGTTTGTCAGTTTTTTAAATAAATCGCAAACTTCAATATAGTTTACGAAGATCTGATAACACTAAAGTAACGTTATATAGTATTTTCGCTTTAATTAAAATTATAGTGGTTAGAAATATGGTTTAAGTATCTAAATAAATAAAAACTAACTATCTCCCTTACCGAGCTCCGTGGTCTGAATTATATCTTTGACATAAATTGACAATATTTGTCGGAATTACTAGTGTCGTATATATTCACCGTCTGGCAAGTCTTACCACAATTCTTGTGATCAAATTGGTGATAGAATATCAAAGGTTAGCTTAGAATGATACTACTAACAGGTTGAGTCTTGAATGTGTTCAGAGTCGTATAAAATTTGGATACAATTTCACGTGATACATTGCGGTTAACGATCGAGTTGATTCATAGTCAGATATATTTTACATATTTAAATTTATAGCTATGAAAATAAAGTTTTTTATAACAACATTTTATTGGACGAACTGAAAAATGGGTAACGAAAAATGGACATAGTTATACAGAATCAAATTGCTCGTTTCTCAGTTAAATACAAATATCAGAGAGGTTGAATCTGAAACGTTTATAATTCTTATTTGCTTTCCCTTTTGGATATCTAAAGATTCTTTACTTTCTGAACAGATAACGAACTCAGGGTTTAACTTTATAAGAAATTAAGTAATAAGAAACTACTTTAATATAGTTGATTGTAGTTTATAACATAATTTGAAAAATGACTTTTCAATGCAACTATTATTATATTTCTTCTTCTTCTACCTGGCAATTTCCCAGCTATAGCCAGGATCTGCCTTACTTGTTGTGAATAGTTTTTGGCTATTTGTTTTTACGACCGGCCGCCTGCCTGACGTCAACCCTCTTTTGGGAATCAACATTAATCAGTGATGTCTAAATACTCTTAGAAAGTACATATGATTCGAAAAAATCACATTGGTACTTGCCGGGGCCAGAATTGAACCCGCGCCCTCGGCAACGAGAGGCGGGCCCTTTAACCACTGAGCCACCACTGACTTAAATTATTATATTTCTTAACTATAACATAATCTGATCAAGACAGAGATTTGTCTTATTTATATTTTTACTTGTGCATGCTTTATTTCTGTGTCATATTATATACTAAAAAGTAAAGAAAATGTGAACAAAAATATGATAACATATTTTTGTTTTTTTTTTCTTTCTTTTAAAAATAAATGAAAGTAGCGGGCATTTGTGGATAATTTCGTAATGTATTGATGTATGTATCGTATGTGTGCGCGCGTGTGTGTGTGTGTCTTTTATAGCTTTGTTAATAAATATGGTCGTGGTTTTAATTGTCTATATGTATAAAAGAATTCATATGTCATATTTATTCTCGTAAAATACAGTTTTTTTTAAATTTACTATTTGTGGTGTACAATAAAGTATATTCTATTCTATTCTATTCTATTCTATTCTAAAACAGAGTGAGCAATTTTGACAATATCAATTAAGTAAGATGCTTCCTTAATTAGAATTAATTTATTTTATTTCAAAGTGTTTGTCTTTCATTCTGTTTCCGACTCTTATAAAAATTTTGGCCAACACTTATGTAAATTCACTTGTCTCTGTTAGAGTGTTTAATTTTTGTTTTATAATTTTACGTCTGATCAAGTTTAACATAATTTTAAGATTCATAAAAACTATGTCACTGGTATCTGTGTCAATATTTTACATTAACAAATCTTGTATCATCAATAGATATGAGAAAATCTCGTAATGATGTACATTAATTTAATTGGACATCGGTTTAAAAATTTTGGCGAAGCCATCAGCATTTTTGTAATCAAGAATCAAGACTTTTACAACGTAGGTTTATAAGATCAGCTTTAACTTAATGTAAGCATAACTAGACTTAATGTATTTAAGCTATTAAGCTTAATTACACTGTCTTAACAACTGTTAGAGTTTTGACAAAATATTAGAAATGGGACTTGGATCGTTTTTGATAACACTATTGTAGCATTTTAATTCTTAATTTAATATTTTTATTTTATTTAATATCTGTGTGAGTGTGTGTGTGTGTGTGTGTGTGCGCGTGTGTATGTGTGTGTGTGTGTGTTTCAGTGTGTTTTTTTATTTTGTTGTCATAGGAAATGATTACTCAGAGTTTAACCGATTTACGCAAATAGATTTTCATTTAAACATACATTGATAAAACAGTATCAATTTTATCTATTATTCTAATTAGTTTATTTTGTAATAAATTTTAAATAAAATTCATAGTTAAAATTTCAATTATTTGTAATATACAATAGAATAACATGTATATTTTGTACGTGTTAACGTTACATTGGTTTCATTCGTAAGTTCCACAATATTCCCTGATAATTTTTTACTCAATTAATGCCTTAAAATTGCTGTATTGTGATCTGGCTGGCTAGGACAGGACGGTATCGGAATACAAACACAAATACAATGTCTTTTGCGGTTGGCAAAGTAATTGAACAATTGTCTCGTGGCTGCTAGCCCTAATCCCATATTGTTTCACCGCAATGAAACCAAAATCAGCGAAATGTATAAAATAGAAAGCTTTTATTTTATTTTTTTCATTATATATGTGATGTGTATTTATATACATATATATATATATATGTAACTCATTAATTTTTGTCTTTTATATTGTTTCAAATTATACAGCTATAAAGATTTGTTCATTATTCTATTGGAAATACGTATTGTAAGTTTTACATATAATGTATAGTTGGAATTAGTATCAATTACTCTTATAAGATCAATTTAACTAAATGAAACTAATATTTTTCGGATGTACTACATACGTGATTTTTATTTTTATCAAAAACTACATACTTCCAACGTTTCAGTTACTTTACAGCAACTGTGATCTTTAAAGTGATTTAATCAATTAATACATTTATATATGGACAACCATTATTTACCTGATTGGATGATTTTTATAAAACTTTGTTTTAATTTATTTTTAGTAAAAAATTATTTAAAATCATCTGTATAGCACATTTCACTGGATTTATTTTTAAGGTTAAAGATATAATCAATGTTTAGTAAATTAATATAGTTTGAGCTATGTAAAATAGTATAGACTACCGTAATGGAGAGGTAATAGCTTGAACTACCGATGATGCAGGCAAGATACGAGACTGTAGATTACATTTTGCTTGTATTATACAACATAAAAAATACAAATTAAATTTAGTTACATTGTGTATTTGTTCCTACTCGTTTCAGAACAGATAAGATTTCTTTGAGATATTGATAAAGATCAAGTTTTGTTTATAAAGTTTTTAAAGAAATATATTTTATAGTGACAAAAACTAATATAACAGCTTGTTACATGAAAGCCATATTAACACGAAATATGTGAATTTATTTTAAAATACTTTAATAATATAAATTTTTTCAATAGAAAATCATCGACGTCAGTGGTGTGTAAAACAAAATCATTTACTGTTTTAAAAATTTAGTAATAAATTTGTAATTCTCTGTATGTAATGTGTATGTTTCTGTAAACAAAGAATTTTAAAGAACCAATTATTTCTTAAAAATGCCGTCTAAACTATACCAATAAGTAAATTTAAATTTTATTTACTTTTAAAATATATTGTGAACGGACGAATCATGTTTTATTAACCTCACACCCAAAATTTACACCTCTTTATATTACAAAGTTATTGTACATATTTAACATTATTATACACAAAAACATATGTAAATAAGGAAAACTCTGAACAATTTATTCTGTGATTACCAATTGATCGACCGTTTGTTAAATTTTTATATGAATATACCAAAGCAAATAATTTTAACATTAAACAATACCAATGGGTTTTGTTTTCGAGTATAGTTTTACGAACAATAAATATTAACTTACACATAATAATTTGAATATTCTAGTAAAACTGGAACTCAAAGTTTTATTACAATTGGTCGTAATTTATACTTACATACGTAGAAATAAACTTGTACAAACGAATAAATAATTAGTTTTAACGTTCACTACTTGTGTTTAAAGTATGGTCTTGTCTTCTATTATCAAAATATATGATTTTGAGAACAGTTTAAAACGTAAATATAGCTGAAAAATGTTTAATTCATACCATAATAAGCTTTTTGATTTAAGCTGAAAAATACATGCTATTTGCTTGCAAAATGCTATTTGATGCATAATAAGTAAAAGCAAGCTGTACATGGACTCTAATAGCTGCAATTTACTACATCAAGACTTTAACGTTTTGTTTCCAGACGTTTGAAATAGAAGATATATCTACACATATATAAATAAGATAGTCGTCTCAGTTACACTATTTATAACTTAAAAACGGATATAAGGAGATGGTTGAAAATTGGCGGAGAGATAGAACCAGGAGACAGACAGAAAATAACTTTGATTTCGTTCGCCCAAAAAATAATTATTTGCTAATAAAATCCAAAATCTGTTTATTTCCTGCCTCTAAATAAAAACAGTTCGCCTGGTCAGCTACACAGTTCTAATTATGAAACTAACTAGAACAAAGTCGCGGGTAAAAGATAAATTGTAAAAATAGTCATATAATTGTAGCACAAAATATAATTCATAACTTTCATTACTTAAAGACCTCAATCGTTCGGGACTTGTATTTGCGTCTCCGCCTTTTAAGGTTCAAACGGTTCCTTGCTCTTTTAATACAACGATAACACGCCTCACTGACACTTGGAGATAGGATGCGTATCAAATGGAAATAACACACGAGAAATTGGATATGGCTTTATAATAAAACATATTTAGAAAGGGACCCATAAAATTTATGTAGTACATATAATAGTATATGTTATATAATATTATAAATAAATTATTTATAATGACATCTCGTCTGCCCGTGATCGCGGATGCTGTAAAGTAACCGAAACATCGGGACTATGTTGTTAAACATAATCGTAGTTTATTTGAAACTATTACTTTTATTTCAATGAATACTCGTGAAAATCTTAGGTCATTATGTTTATAGTTTAATTATTGAAATTGAAACAATTACTCATAAATTCAGAAGTGTTTTCCTGAAATAAATTGATGTGAAAAGAAATAATTTTATAAATAAAGAGTAAATCATTACCCTGTCCTAATAAAAGTGTGGCACACATAAAAGGATGCACACTAAGAAAATATTCATCGGTAATTTTCACATTTTAAACATATATTAAAGTGCCATTTTAGTCACAATAATGTTATTTCTGATAAAGAAAAGATTATTTTTAATAAATATTATCAAGTAGAGACAAGGTAGAGACAAAATATCATATAATCAAATTACATTCCAACTCTGTGGTATGCGTGTCGAATAATCAAATTAATTAAATATATATGTATATCTACATAACCGTGGTTTGACTTGTGCTACCTTAAATGTGTTGAAATTATATATTCTGTTTTTCTGATCAGTAAAATAAAAAAATACATAACTTTTTTACATTTACGCTCTCACTAACTACATTATATTTTTTTTCTGGTATTTGGGCTATATTATTTTTCATTCTAATTAATTTACGATACTCAATGTTTGTCAAGGTTATAAATTGTTGTTTTCATTATTTGACGGCCATTCCTGGTGATGGTTATTATCTATTTTTGTTAATATTGTTCCAGTACTGTAAATGTATCAGCTCTTATACAGAATTATGTAAGACATTTTTTTATATGTTCTTAGCTATGTTTGGTTCATATCAGCCTAGCAGTGTTAGAGAGACGAAACCTCTGGGCATTCCATGGAATCACCGTGCGAGTGTCGGGTCCATCGCGTTGCAGGGAGAGGAGCTTCAACAGTGCCTGGCACTTGCGACCCAGGTGTATGTTTAAGGGGCCCCTATCTAACGCGCGTTAAATGCTCACCTCCACCATCCAAGCTCCTCTCTTTCTACCTTACAAAATTTGAAAATAACCTACTACAGCTGTCTTCGAAGTACGTTCCAAGTATGCATTGATGTGGACAGGCCCAGGTCTTTTAGTAGGTTGTAGAGAGATGTAGCCGTTATATGTATCTCACTTCTTGCGCGTACAAATCCATGACAAAACTATTTCGAGTGAGTTCGTTAGTAAGGACATAATATTTATTGACCACTTTACAATTCGTGAATACATAAATACGTCTGGTCTGGAGGCCGACGCACAAATATCCTCCGTGATTTTCTACTGTTTCTCAACACGTATCCACAATTATAGTCCAGTCTGAAGCCCCTTTAAGGTTAGAGTAATGCTTGGCATTTGATTTTACAGCTCTAGTGCCTTCTCTTACAAAACCTACTAATCGCTCGTTTGTGGTTACTTCCCTTTTGCGCTCTGGCTACTGAAAGACTAACCGCTTCACGTATAATTTCCACAACCCTATCGTGACAACGCGATTTTTGACCGCTATTCAGGAGTACCTTACATCTTATTAGATTACTCTGATCTGGGAGAGTATATAAGATGAAAAAAGATTATTTACTAATGACATGTTTAAAGTTTTATATAAGCATAATAAACAAAAGAGAAAATTCAAAGCTTCTAATCAAATAAAAAGATATTATATGCATACAATCTGAGAGATATACGTTTGAACATTACCATTACCATTTCAGAAATCCGATTGAAACAAAGTAAAATTTTGTTCTGTTTTTGTTCCGTTTTATGTTAAACCTGAACGTTTGGAACAACAACGAATGAGATAACATTTAGAGTAATAGATATTTGATACCGATTTTAAATAAAACTGTTGTCTAACAAAGCATTCAGCATTTTAAAAATGTCACTTAGATGCACAAGTTATATTACACACACGCACTCACACTCGCAATCAAACACACACACACACACACACACACACACACACACACACACACATATATATATATATATATATATATATATATATATATATAGACAAGTGTAATAGTAAGAACACAGAGGAAGAATATTGGTTTTTTGTTAAAAGGTTGCATGTCTAGTACTATTAAAATATAAATAAAGTTTTTGAACAAACGATAATATTTTTATGGAAGAATAATAACTAGAGTTATGACAAACTTAAAGTCAATTCGTTTTATACTATCTTGCCCGAGTAATGGCAGTAAATATTAAATATTTGATTCAATAAAAAATTGTAAAACATGCAACGAAGAACATGATTTGAACCTTCTCTATTATAGAAGTAATAGTTTTGATTATCTATACATCTTAAAATTTTCCTAACCCTTATTTTAATTTATAGAATACTAGCTGACCTGACGAACTTCGTACCGCCTTATAATCAAAAAATATCTTTTACACACACTACAAATTATCCTGTAGAAACCAATGTTAAAAGTACACTTAGAAATGGTAAATGAATTATGTAAGTATTTTATTATTATAACTCCGGCCCAAACCACTTCCGACCAATATATTTGCAAACAGTATTTAAATCTGTTTTAATTTTTTCTTTATTTTAATGACAACTGCCAGTGACACATTATTTTATTAAAAAAGTTCAACATTGTAGTATTTTTTTTCTACTAATTTTCGTATTTTTTACATAAAAACCTTCTCCTAATAATAAGAAATACAATAAAAAAAGGATTAATGAAATCGGTCCAGCCATTCAAGTTTGATGACATGACCAAGGGAAAAGGTATTCATTTATATATATATATATATATATATATATATGGATAAAGAATTATATGTTAATTTTTAATATTATAACTATATACAGACATATATAAACTATATCTTTCCAATTTCTCGTGTGTTATTTCCATTTGATACGCATCCTATCTCCAAGGCCTCGGCCTCGAATTTTGCGGGCAGCGGAGCGGCGGCGGCGCCGGCACGGAAACGCATACATTTCTCCAAAATAGCGGGCAGCGGGCACCGCTGTATTCGAGGGTCGATCCATTTGATTATACGCGTAAGATCCTGCCGCTCCCGCTGCCGCTCCGCTGCCCGCAAAATTCGAGGCCGAGGCCCAAGAGTCAGTGAGGCGTGTTATCGTTGTATTAAAAGAGCAAGGAACCGTTTGAACCTTAAAAGGCGAAGACGCAAATACAAGTTCTGAACGGTTGAGGTCTTCAAATAACAGTTTACTATGATAGTTTTTGACAAACCAACCTCCGTATAATTCGTTAATAATATACGCAATTCTACATTGATATACATTTTGTTGAATAAAAATTTCTGATTAGCTAAATCGTGATTTCAACAGGTGTAATTTTATAAAAAGTTTTTTTTAAAGTTTATTAAATAAATTACGGGCTACCAATTTAAATTACCCTACTTATGATTCCATTGTCAAGCTCATTTATTTTTTTATATATCAAGTAAAACAACATTTACTAGAATCATAATTATGAATATAATAAAACTTATAATAATTTTAATTGCTTATTGTTTCGCAATTAATATAATATTTGTATTTAGCTTGTTTGTTTAAAATGTTCAAAATTATGTATATATATATATATATATATATATATATATAGAGTAATAAATGTAATATTAAATTGTCCTACTAACCAAATAAACTGCAGAATATGTTTTATTTTTTAATTAATTTTTGTATTGAAATTTCATATAAACAACACATTAAATTTGAAAAATTTTGACCAATTGTTTTTTAAGAACAATAATATTAATTGGCCTCTTTATAATAATTTTATTATTATTTCTCTAAGTTATTCTCCACGTTTACTCAACTAATTATTTCTTAATCAAAACACTAACTAGTTCTAAAAACTTTGAAGGATTATGTCGAATTTATTTATTAAACAAAATATTAAAGAGTAACTAGGGAGATATTTTTCATGTAACGGCCAATGTCTAAACTTTTGCTTCTACTGCCATTTCTTAAGGTCATAATTACGTCTCAGAATAACTAATGAAAGTTTTAAATGAGCTCTAATCTTAAACATTAACATATAAATATTAAACAGCATAAAGAAGCCTCTGACCAACGTTTTGAAATATAACTATAAAATATAACTGTCTCATACTTTATAACAGAATTTCAGGTAGTGGTGGCCTAGTGGTTAAAAGGCCTGCCTCTCATGCACGAGGGCGCGGGTTTGATTCTGGTCCTGGCAAGTATCAATGTGATTTTTCTGAGTCATATGTAAATAGAAAGAGAAGATAAAAGATGGGCCATAGTTAAAGGCATGAAGTTCTTTTAGACTGAATAATAGTTTAAATCGGGTATAATTAGTCTAGCCTTTAACTAGTGACGTGTAGTCTCACAGGCGTCGTGTGTTTGGTAAATTCTTAGAATTAATGATTTCCCCCCGGTTGCCGCGACCCGGCATCTCAGTAGCTTTTGTTTTCGTTCCTAAACGACCATAGAGGGGATCAGACGTGCCGTCAGATACGTAACAGGTTCGTAATTGTAATTTGAAATTCGATTGTAGCCTGTGAGGCTACATGTCCCTAGTTGTCTAATAAATATTTTTTCGAACAATTTTCTTGTTTTTAGTGGAAAATGGCAGAAAACGCTAGGAAACGTGGACTTCAGCCGTCGACTTGATGATGAAGTAGATGAAGCAGATAAAAATGCTCCATTTATTCTAGCAGCCGCCGAACGAGAAGGTGGCCAATGGTGGCCAATGGTATTCTACCGCATAGTGGACTTGTGCAGCATGAATGCTTATATATTATATAATATGCATCAGCCTAAATATACAGATAGAGGAGATTTTCTAAAGTCATTAGCCCGTTCACTAGTGCTACCCCACTTGCAAAGACATGTTGGGTGCTGGCAATTACCAAGGGAGTTACGCCTAGTGATAAAACGAGTTCTCGCTGACGATGTGGTTGAAGAAGATGTCCAAAGTCCTGAAACTAGTAAAGGTAAGCGAAAGGCATGCAGTATTTGTCCGCCTAAACTTCACAGAATGACTGTGTTCACATGTGTCGGCTGTTGCAATCCCGTATGTTTGCAATATTCTCGACCCTTGTGGAAAAATTGCCAATGATTTATGCCAAAAAGAGTATGTGTCAGAATTTTAATGTTTTGTTTTCAGAAGAAGCTTTTATGATTTTTTTAAAGTAGTATTATTTAAGTTTTCATAAAAAGAGTTATATTTGTCATATCATTTATGTAAGGTCTATTAAAATATTAAAATAAGGATCTTATGTCAATTAAGGCTGAAAAGTACAATTAAGTGTTAATTATCATTTGTGTTTAAAGTGATTATAAAAACTGATTGAATTAATTTATATTTGTTTTATTACATTCTATCAAATAAATATCAACGCATTTTAAATCATTATAACGCAATTTTATGACAAAATTTAAATTTAAAAGTAGTAGCCTGTGAGACTACATGTCCCTTATAGTATTCTCAATTTATCACGTCCCTAGTTAAAGGCTAGGGACCAAATTATAGCACCGGAATAATAATTCATTCGTTTTCACTAATTAATTATGGAAAGAGTCAAGGTTAAGCAAGCTAAGTACAACTAGTGCCGGGAGAGTGAGGCATCGAATGAGGCGCAAGGTGGCGTGATCGGTGCACGTGTTGGTTATACCTACGCTTAGGTGACGCGCTAGCGCTGACATGTACTTTCTAAGAGTATTTATACATCACTAATTAATGCATTCCTAAAGAGGGTTGATTTCAAGCAGGCGACCGGTCGTAAAAATAATAAGCCAAAACTATTTACAACACCGCTAAAACTGGGTAATTGCCAGGTAGAAGAAGAAGAACTTTATACTTTACAGCAACCGTGATCACGGGCAGGCGAAATGTATCCTACACCTCGGGAGTATGTAGTTTTTATCAAAAATAAAATCGCGTAGTATATCCGCAAAATATTAGTTTCATTTTTATTAAAATATTAAAAATTTTCAATATTAATACACATATTTTACGTTCATAATTATGATTTTCAGCAATTATTTTGTCATACATATGTATAGTTTCATTTAAATGACTCGCGGAAATCTAAGATCTCATTATTTTAATAAAAATTTCTAAAAATTGGTATGTATGATATTTATCCAACCTCTAGTCTTTTTATTCTCAAGATTTGAAACAAAGGTTCGGTTAAGTAATCTATAAAGTAGATCACGCGAAATAATAAATCATCGCAATCAGTGTTTAATAAAAATTGATGGATGGAGGTGTCACTGATTAATTACTGTTTGTATAACCTTCATATTTTATTGTTTGTTATATATCTTAAATATATAATCACAAGAAAATATATTAACAATATTGATAAGTAAGTTAAAATCTAGTTACAAATGAATCATATGTTTACGAGATATATATTTTCGACTTATTTATTACCTAAGATATATATAATTAAAATGATTGCCAAATATGTATGTAAATATACTACTTATCTATATACTATTGTAAAAGATACCTGTAGATCGCAACTTCAAAAAGATTTTAACAACAGTTCTTAATATCAAATATTTATCATATACGCAATATCTTATTCTTGGACCATATAACATTGTTTCACGTTATTTTCTCGAGTTATTTTATTATTATTAAAAACTACATACTCTCGACGATTTGAAAACCGAAAATAACATTTTCGGTTTTCAAATATATAGTGATCCGAAAATATTAGTTTCATTTCAATATTTTATTATTAAAAGTTTAAACTGCAAGACTCATACAAAATTTGAGATATGAATACATACAGAGACGAAACTTCTCAGCATTCCATGGATTCACCGTGCGGGTGCCGGGTCCATATACACGTAACAGATTTATGAATTGTTGTTTCCAATCCAAATAATTTATACTTTTCTCTAAGTTATAAAATAAAAATGACCTAATATCCTCCAAAATAGTTTTATTATCATCAATAGCTATGTAAAGCTAAGGATCAAAGAGGTTTAAAGAAGTAATTGAAGTTATAAATGAATTTTAGACGAGGATTTAGAACTTTGATGTGGCTGAGACGTCTTTAAAAAATGTATGATAGAACATATTACCATAATTTGCTTCCATTATAGAAAATTATGATTACTATGATAATGCAATCAGAACCGAGAATTGACATTCGAATACTAATATACTAATACATTGTATTATAGCCGGTTATTGTAATATTAACTATTTTGATTCAATGTGGTTTGCGTGTGACGTTGCATTGGTAAGTGGAGAGATTACTATGTTATGACCTATAAAGGTACCATTAATATTATTACCCACATATGTACTACTATTTTTATCAATCGATATTAATCTAAATATATAAATAATACAAGCGATTATATTTTGTTGTACTGGTATGAGAAGTAAAATGTGATGTTTAAGCCTACTTGTAATGTGTGGACTAAAGGTTACCTGAGTTGGTACGACTCGCTCACAGAAGGTTGATGTTTAATTGCTTTCAAAACTACGTTATGAATTTCTTGATTTGTGATATATGTATAGTATCTTGACGATAACAAACCAGCCCTATCAGAAGTCTAGCCGCGGCGACAACCATCTAAATTAAAGAAATCTCTAAAGGAATAAGATTAATCATTCAATTAAATCGATTACCTCATTATTATCCTTTCTGATATATTAATTTTTATAATTCTATCAAGGTGCAAAAAGAGCTTTTTTAAACCTTACCAAAAGAGACCAATTGATGAATTTATATTTTGCTCTATTTTGGTGAAAACTCGAAACATATTTAACAGCATTAAAAAAGTGCGGTTTCATTGAATCACAAGCAAGTTGTGTATTGGATGGTGGGAAGAACATCTTTGAGTATTTTCCATTTGCGGTATGATTGAAATTACGCTCTTCAGAATACTTAATCTATAAGAAATTAAGACATTCAGGTGATAGTCAAATATTATTCTTAGTGAAATATTTTCAATCTCAAATCGAAACACATGAATATAATTACGCACTTGCATAAATAATTCGAAATTGCTAAGAACATTCCTCTTTAATCATTACTCGTTGGCAGTAATGCGACATGCGTTAAAGGGGGCAAAGGTTCAAAACGATAGGGGGTATTTTTTTTTAAAATAAATAATACAAAATGGAAACCGTATTACTTCAGCGAGCAGATATCAACCGCCGATTCCAATCATTCTTTCCCTATATAGTTATTGTAAATATAAAAAAATATATTTTTACGTTAGATTGAATAGAGTTCTTCGAAATATATGTGACCTTTTATTCGATGAAATCTTCATTTAAATCCATCAAAACGATATATTTTTCTTTATATAAATATTCAACCAAAAATTATTCTGATTTCAGTCCTTTATAGATGCAACTTTCAGTTTTATTTCCTAAATTTGTAACCTAATACTTTCATTGTGAAAACTATTACTGTAAAAAATGTCTTTTCCTTTTTGAAGGCTACTTACCAGCAGATATTTTCTTGTTTTCGTCTTGAGCGACTAAGTGACCTTTCAACTGAAATTTGATACGACAAAATAACCAAAACTATCAAAGTATGATAGTTGTTTATTTAACTGGAACAAATATAGAAACTACTACAACAATTAAAGTTTGTGTACATCAAACAAAAAAAAGCGAAGTTATAATATTATCTTTAAAATATATGACTATTCTCGTAATATACAAAATATATTATTAATTTCATATCTCAGATGAAGACCGTGTTTGTAATGTAGTAATAGGATTATCAGTTAAATACTAATTTCGTATTATCAGCTTATGGCGAATGTAATAAGTTTACAACATACACAATTACACAGTCAGATATATGGCATATTAGAGCTAAGACGATTGATTCACTGTTAGCATAATAATCACTTATATTGGATGTAATAAAAATATCCGAACTGGCAAATAAAATAAATTTCTGACTCGATTTTAACCTTATGTAGAATTTTACCTCTAAGTCAGTGGTAGCCTAGTGGTTAAAAGGCTGCCTCTCATGCACGAGGGCGCGGGTTCGATCCTGGCAAGCACCAATATGATTTTTCCGAGTCATATGTTCTTTCTAAGAGTATTTAAACATCACTGATTAATGCATTCCCAAAGATGATTGATGTCAGATAGGCGGCCGGTCGTAAAAACAATTAGCCAAAACTATTAACAATATGTAAGGCAGACCCTGGCTAAAGCTGGGAAATTGCCAGGAAGAAGTACCAATAAAAATATTTGATGAAATCATTATAGTTTGATTACATCAAAATGTCGCAAAAGTCTACCAAAGTTTGTAAGTGTAAATACTAAGTTATGATACAATTTACTTTAAAACAAGTTCTCTTAATAACTTGAAAATTTTTTGTGTAGCGGTTGATCGTATAAAATTTATAATATTGTGTCGCTTTTGTTTTTATATATTCTTAGATATAAAATAAAAATGATGACCTTAAATGTATGAGCCATAAAGTAAAAGAAAAAATGTCTGAAAGTGAACAGCTTTCAAATAAAAAAACATTGGTTAGGCAAAAAAAAACTGTATTTATTATTTTAGTTATAAATTTTTCAACGTATTTCCATCTAACGCTGAGAATTGAGACGTAAAAATAGCATTTTTCTTCATACTACAACCAAAGAATATAGAGGGGAAAAGATCAAAATATGTAGGAAAATCGTAAACAAAATTATTGTTCGGAATTGTATGAAAAGAAAATTCGGTTGTGATGAACACGATGACAAAAAATATACAAAATCTCTTGGAATACTGATTTAAACTCTGTTTTTCATATTAACATACGCATTAGAAGACTTTTCATGAACACATAACAAAAATTATTTGAGAAAGATGTGATTTTTAATAAAAATAAATAAAGACAGAACAATCGAAAAGTAGTCTCAGTATCTGCAGCTTAAAACGAACTCAGAATATTGAGACACAGAGTAATGTAATGTAGAGGTAACTTTTACATAGTATATATTAAAGGGAAATAGGAATTAATAATGCATTAATTAGACAATAATGTGCTTATACGAAAACTTGATAAGATTTTAATGAATTTTCAAACTTAAACGTCTTAAAATGCATTTTAAAGAAACTTCATGATTTT